TATGAGCATTTAAAAATTTAACTTAATTTCCTTTTCTGAATCGAGACCATTGGGCACCCCATTCCGAATGTGGCGTCTTTGGAGCCGCCTAAACCGAAAGGGTTCCAACTGTCTCATTTCAATTTGCTTGACGTAGAGCTATAGACTCGGTTATTCCGAGGATCTAATTGAACAAGAACGTTAGTACTTTGGTAATTCTGTACTCGAAATACTTAGAATACTCAGAATACTCTCTGCTTTGGCCCTCTTGTCGAGTTCCATACCTGAATTCCCCTCCTTTCGCATCTTTCTTCTTGACACTTTGTATCTTGAGCCTCGGTTTCTTTAAGCTATTTCCCTCTTTTGGACTTTCTAGAATCTCTCGAAAACCTTACCCTGCAGGAGAGGCTTAGAAATTTCAAACGTCAAATCTCATTAGTCTCTGGAATCTACAAGGCGCTACTTCTAGTCGTTTTTTTTCCTTCCAGGGTGCCCGCTAGTGGTAGCACCTTCGCTATTTTGCCGTGTGCCACCATCGGTTCTTACATCGATCGTTCCGGTTATCATTCTCGCTATCGGTGTCATTTTGATTCTTTTTTTTTTGACTTCCACACATCTATTCCGAATTCGGGTATCGAAAAAGCCCTCGGCATTGTTCTTTCGAATACCCTTACCGGTAGACCGTGGTCTACCCACACCTTATCCCCCCCCACTAATCCCTAGCTCTTGGACAGCCTAGAACCAAGATCTTACTGCCATCTGATCTCCCCACTCTGAATCCTCCATTTCGGCATTCAGTAGTGATCTGCTGGATTTCAAGCACGGGGCTTTCCTTGCCAACGCTCCGGCCCGGTTCTCCGTGACTCCTTGGGTTGTTAGAAACCTGCAGCTTCATAGTCCGTCTTAAGGCCTGGAAAATCCCTGGACGTTGTCAACTACCTACTGGGATACCGCAGACAACCCAGCACGAAAACTATGCACCTGAGAACGTGACTGCTCGGGACTAATGCGAGATGGTGGCCTTCTAAGCCAGCTTCAATTACCTGTCCCTTTCGGCTTCACCGGCACACTACGCGACTTGCCGAGAGTTGACTATTTCGAGCGCCAATATTTCCAAAACTTCGCGGGCAACGTTTGTACAAATTTCTCTCTCTTATCATTCCTGCTCGCCATTCGCTTTTGAGCTTGGAAAGTACACGGTCGTTCTATTTTGCTTTGCTGCCTGATCCAAATTTGTTGGACTTTTTTTTACTTCTGTCATTGTCCTTGAAGACCGAAAAGTGAAATTGGTATGTGGAAAGCGTCTATGTCCCGGTAGAGGGGAGATCAGAGAAATGAGCCCATTGCTAAGTCGCCTGGCCCCTTTCAATAGGTACCTTTGTGCATTATTTCTGGAACCCGGAAAATCAACAGAAAGCTAAGAATCAGCCAAAGACAACCTCGCGACATCACTTCAGGTCAAGTCTTTTCTTGACACTATACCCATTCAAGGTACAAAAACCTTGTCACACTGGCTGTCGTCTGGGTCTGTTATGTAGACGGTCAAATTTTGTGAAGCACTTCGACCCCATATATCTAAGCGCCATGTCAACATCCCAAGGATCAGGACCTGGATCTGGCTCCCATTCTGGCATAGGCCCACGCTACTATGTTGGACCTTTCGGTCGTATGTTACCCACCACAGATCGCCCATCGGAGCAGCAACCGGAGCTTCCAGCTAATTTACAAGAATCCGGGGACCTCCCATACCAGCTTCCACCCCCGGCTAGTTTACAATTTGGATCTGATCCATTTTCGCGGCAAGACAGTCCACAGGGAAAGGACAGTGGGTCACACCAAAAGCCAGAGCACCTTCCCTCTGTGAGTCAAATACTCACTCCGACACCGGGCACAAATTCACCGCAATACTCTCGATTATTTGCAAATTCAACACCCAACATAGGGCATCGTGGATCTACATACCCACCTCACCATCACGATCCGACTTTCCAGGTTTCGCCGGCCTCTATGCAAGACAGAGGCCGTTCCGAATCTCTCCCGCAACAGTATAGTGGTCTGCCTTCATTGTCACAAGTGGCTCTACATGGAAATCGAGGTATAAGAAACCACACACCGACAAGAAGTGATCCATCCGCTGCATCCTATCCGCACGGCCGGCCACCCTTTCACACCACATCTTCACATGATCAAGTACCCAGTGGGGAACTATCATCACCGGAAAGTTCAAGCCGGTTACACAACAAACCCCTCCGGCCTCATGTGGTAGATGAACGAGTCATTGACGGGGAACTCTGCTTTGTATATGCAGACGGATCATTCTGTCCCAAATTCATCGATGGTGCACCCGTCAACGCAAATTGGGGTATAACAAAGGCCGGCAGGCCGAGAAAGCGCCTTGGACTCGCCTGTCTGACCTGTCGCGAGAAAAAGATCAAATGTAACCCTAACCCAACTCCCGAGGCCGTATGTGATCAATGCCGGAAATCTGGACGTGAATGCAGGTTCGAAAGTGCGTAAGTGTGATCGTCATCTCTGAAAAATATACGTCCACGGACTTATCTTGAACTATTGCTAATCTCCCCAAAGCCCGCGGGGGAACCGTCCTCTCATGAGAGGGTCAACAGGGCCATCTGGCAACCCTTACGCCCGCGCAAGTCACGGTGCTTTGGACATTTCTCCGTCACTTTATGACGGCGTTCGAGCCTCGGACAGTGCGACCTCCCTTCCTGGGACTACCGGCCACTCACCGATGTCAGAGGCCTCGATGCTCACGCCATCAGGCCAAGAAGCCCCGTATGAAACTATGGCCGAAGCGGACAGGGCTTTAAGATCCCGATCCTACCGATTCCCATCGTCTTTATCCAGCACAGATGATACCCTCGCACGATCGTCCGCACATATGGAGTCTACTCGTACGCCCGAGTACTCTGATATTTTGGGGGAACTCAAGGACAACAGCTCCGACGATCCACTCGCGGCTTCATGGAATCTGGACCCCTACGAAAGCGACCCAGAGGCGGCGATTCACTATACAGAGTGCTATTTCTTGCACGTGAATGACGGACTGTACCACATGTTCCCGCATGGACGATTCGGCCTGTGGTTGAAGACCGACCCCGCCAAGTCTGCAGACGACAAGATGCTTCTTTATTCTATGATGGCTCTTGGATCTGTGTTCTCAGACAGGCTAGATAAAATGGCAGCCATGAAGCGATATTCCCGTATAGCCCGCTTTGCCATTAACAGAAGCCAGCATACCCTGTCTTTGCAACTTGCTCAGAGCCATGTGATAATGAGTCTTTGGTACTACGCTACAGGGTCGCTGGTCGGGTCTTGGGACTCAATAGGCGCAGCTGGAAGAGCTGTCTTTGGGCTTCGTTACAACGTGGAATCTGGCGGCGTTGTTGTGGATCAAAGCCAGAAGTGTGACTACGGGTTACACCCACAGGCTTTGATTGAGTGCCGACGGCGAACCTTTTGGATTGCCTTTGTGCTTGATGTAAGAATACGCAAATCATTCGATAAAAGACCGAATCTTAGTTACTGACAAAAAGACCAGCGCTTTTCGAGCCTCTATTCCGCTTCCTCGACTTTCATCTCGTCAGATGCAGCCCTGCTGAGGCTCCCATGTCGAGAAGAAATCTACGAGACTCAACAGTACGCGACAGTCCCCTATTTCCAATCATTCCTCAACCACATCCCAGCCTCCACAGGCGATGATCGCTCCACTCTAAGCCCAATGGCCTTTTTAATCGAGATCATGGCTATTTGGGGAGACGTCTCCCTGCATATAACCCGATTACCACACATCCCCCCCGAAGCATACAACCAACTTGCCGAAGAATTCCACACAGTCACCATCCAAAAATCAAACCAATGGATGACCCGACTCCCCGATTACCTGGCATTCTCATCCATAAACCTAGAACGAAGCATTCGGCAAAGAAAAGCAGACACCTTCCTCTCAACCCATTTGTTCTACCACGCCAGTTTGATGAAATTGTACAGACACGCCCGATACCAGAGCCTCAGACCAGAAATACTAGGCCAGTACATTCACCGCGCTCGATACCACGCCGTTGAAATCCTCCGCATCTCTCTTACCTTCGACCAATACGCAAAAGAAATTACCCCTTCCCGACACAACACTGAGACTTCCACATCCCTAGCACTCCTGAACCCATTCCTCGGCTACGTCATCTTGTCAGCTGTCGACGTTCTCAGCTCTGCTGGTCTGGCGTCGCAGTTGCATGAGTGTGTCTCGTATATTAAAGGTGCACTAGATACCGTCCACGAACTCGGCCGCTACTGGGATGGCTCTTTGCAATTAGTCACCGTTCTCCACAGGCGACTGGGTCTGATGATTAATTGTCTGCATGAACGCAGCGCCTTCGCTGAGAAACTGGGCTTTGCGCTCGATGGACCCCCGCTTGAGACGAAGGTCCATGCTGGCGCTTTGCATTCTCATCCGCCTGCGACAATGGGTGAGGATCTTTTTACGGGATCTATGCCCAGAGAGGTTCTTTTGAATGCTCTACGGCATGATGAGACGCTCATCTCTGAGAGTGGGATTGCTTGGATTAGAGACCCATGAGGTTTCCCTCTCCCTTGGTTTTCTCTTTGATCGAGTTCCAAATTGGCTTGACGGCGTGATTGATCTTCTGGAATGTTGATGTTCTTGCAGTGGTGAGGGAATCTTGTTCTCTATCATCCTGTTACGATGTGACGGATACATTTCAATAATGATGATGGTGGCTTGGCCGAGAGCATTGTTGCCATGTATAAACGGGACTGTGACCTACATGACTTGAGTCATTTGCCTACCTTTGAGCAGAGTTTCATATTTTCTACATCTGTATATTATAGTATGTCGTTTATTTTCTGCTTTTTTTTCGTGCCTTTGAGCGCTTTCGTACTGCCATCTGCTCATGTACATATATCTATCATGCTTGGAAGAAAATGGTCAGGATAAATCAAGGCTCACTATTTTCACTATTTTATTTGTACAAAATGATCTGCTATTATGATTCCTGAGCTGGAAACTGGCCGGAATAAACAAACCTGCCTTCAACAGGATCCATCAACACAGCATAGTGAGTATCTTCATTAACAATCGGGTCAGAGCAAAGCCACCCAAGCACTGTCCCAAGCGTAACCGACAGCTCAGACGCATCATATTCCCATCCGACTTTCGTATTCCGTTTCCATTTCAACTGTGAGCGGGCAACAGCAGTATCCTTAACTCTCCGCCTCTTAAGTTGCTGTTGGAAAATCCCATGATCCAGCACCCTGCGATCCCATTTCTCTTGCATCGACGCTTGCCGCTCTTTACTCTCCTCAATAATCTCAGCCATGCTCTGCATACCATCCGCCACACGCAGACCCGTATATCCCCTATCATTCGCGATAGCCTCATCCATGACCGAACTGGTATCCTCATCGTGGTTGGTCTTGATAAGGAAAGAACTCGAACTGCGCCAAAACGCAGTCTCATAATCCTTTTCCATCGCAACAATGCTACTCCCATCACAGAAGATCAGGTACGCAGCCGTCGTCCGCAAACAAGGAACTTCATTCAGGATCTCCTCCATGGTCGAAGTATTCGAAAGTTTCGTCGATCCCTCCTCCATACTGGGAAGAATACACTGTCTCAGCAGCGATGTGATGGACTGTCGTAACCCAAGCAAAACAAGCAAATAATTGAAATAAAACCCAACATTCCTCCGAGGATCATGCACAGCGCGGAAATTGAGCGAAACGCTAAGATCTTTCCGCACACCCGTGAGAATCCCCACGAACCCAACGTACGTGATGCACGTCGCGAGCACTTTATCCGGCGAGTCGTCGCGCACAAACTCCAGCTGCACGATCAGCGAGCGCAGTGGATCCATTCCCCAATCTAAAGTCCGGAAGTGGACCATTCGTGTCCAGAGTCCGTCGAGCATTCGTACACCGCCACTCGTGCAGCCCATTAATAGATCGAGAACCACGTTCAGACATATTAGGAGGTATAGGGAGATCCCGGTTACGCGACTTATGCCGCGGATCTCGGCTGTTTCTTCGTCTGTGTAGAGTCTGTGTAGGAATAGACGCGCCAGCCAGTGGATTGGTTTTGTTGGGATATTTGGGGAGAGGTTGTGGATCACGTCGTCGAATATGTTGGTTACGGAGCGCATTCGGTCTTTGTAGAGACTGGCGAGCGCTGTGTAGCGCTCTTCTGGTGGATGGGAGAGGTTTATTCTGAATACTGGGGGCTGTTGTGCACCCAGTTCTCTTAGGCGGGTGGTCATTGTTGATGGATTGATGATTATCATTCCATTCAGAGTTGGAGAGGATGGAGGGCTGGGCTCAGGAGTGGCTTTTGTAAGTTGGTCAATCTTTTGATCTGAGGTTTTATAAGAATTGAGAACTTGGAGTATACGGGAAGGGCTGACTCCGTACTTATGAGTTACACGATGTTTACCAAGTTGCCTTGTGCGCGCGTAGCGTTGGTGTAGATCGACACTCAACATTTGCCTTATAATAGTTCAATTTGCACTCTATTAGGCTGACATATATTGAAGAGGAGGTCCACAGTCGACGTGGCACATTTTGCCAAGTGATTCTATGCTGATCACCCGTGTATGCTCCATCAGGTACCAACGGTGTATCTTTAGCTTCAGTTGGGTGTTTTAACTGATTTACTGCTAGTTGCCTTCTTTTTGGGGGTTCTCTCCCCCAATTGAGCCCTTGGCATGTATTAATGGGTATTACTCTGCTCTTGTTTGTTCTCTGCTCTTGTTTGTTCTCTGCTCTTGTTTGTTCTCTGCTCTTGTTTGTTGATTGTACCGGTAATCGCAATGTCTAGAGGGTGTCGACTCAGGCTGCATACACAATTTAGTCCCGTTGGACTTCATTGGATATAGAGGGAGATCGTCACTGCAACTGGTTTAGAAATAGTGTAGCTGATCTGCATTGTTTTGACGAACATGCTCTACACTTGCTCAGCCCCATTTTAGTGATGAGCTATTCTTATTAGTAGACCTTGCTGGCACAGATCTTCAAAGTATCGGCTGTTTTCGCAATTTACGTTAAAAGAGGACTTTCCACGTATCTATATACTACATTTATGGAGGTTAATATGCTAGTGTTAACTAATACCACTAATATTAGCCCTAGCTAATAGGAATTGAGTCGTGGGTTGGCACCCGACAATAAAGGCATTGTTTTCGGACGGTGTTTCAAATTCTATACTAAACTCGACCGTAGTTCAAAATTAAATAGATCAACATGCTCATAAGCAATAGCTCTATATAATCCTGTCAATGCTCCACTATACCACATCTAAGCGGGGATTCCAACGCAGATGCGGAAGGTTTCTCCGGCATTTCCATTTCTCTCCACTCCACCTTGATTCATTGCCCTGTCATCCAACCACCCCAAGATGGGGATATATATATAGATAACACAAAACGAGTGCGCATAAAGCTCTCATGACCTCCTTCAATCAATCCTCCGGGGCGCAGGAGTTCCCCGGGGCGCAGGAGTTCCGTGCGACGGTGGAAGATGACGGACTCGACGCTGACTATAGTATGGTCGAATACCCTGAGGAACCCGACTATTACGTCCTACTGGGTCTTGCACGCAATCCACCCCCGACAGATGCCGAGATCCGATCCGCCTACCGCAACCTGACCCTCAGCTTCCATCCAGACAAACAGCCGCCGCATCTCCGTCATGCCGCCGAGAGTCAGTTCAGACATATCCAGGAGGCGTATGAGACGCTCATTGATCCGAAAAAGCGCATTGTGTATGATATATCTGGTGCGGCGGGTGTGCGACAGGAATGGGGTCAGCTTGGGGCCATGGGGATTGGTGGGGAGGCACAACGACAGGATGTTGGTGTCAAGGCGATGTCGCCGGATGAGTTCCGGCGCTGGTTCTTGAAGACGATGAAGAAACGGGAGCGGAAAGCAGTCGAGAGTCTAGTTTCCAGCAAGGTATGTATTTTCGGTATTGATTCTTCCGTCTATGGGAAGTAATGCGCATGGTTGTGCTGTTGCTGACACTCATTGGTTTTGACTTTAGGGCGGCATTACCATCGGAATCAACGCGTCAACCATGGTCTCAGTCGACGAAGACGAAGACGTACAGTTCCATATCCCTTCACCGAAAGTGTCCACATATGGTGTTTCGTATAATTTCAAGACGCCGCTGTCATTACCACAGCTTTGGGGTACGGCAGACAAAGAACCAGAAACCGAGGGTGTGGAAACAGACTCAGGAGAAGATGTGCAAGAGGAGGAACCAGAGAACATGCAGTTGGCTTTCAATGCGGGTATAACTGGAGGTTTGGCTCGCCCGGTCAAGAAAGTCACAGTTGAGTACGAGGATGGGACAGAAGGAGAAGAAAAGGTATGTGCTGCAGGTTTGCATCTCGAAAATTTGGCTAACCGTTTTGCAGTTCCAAATGCCACCCATCCTGGCTGCTCAGAACTTCCAATTTGGGGCCACTGTGACTCCTAATTTTAAAAACCTGATCGGCACCAAGGGAATCTGGGCCAAACATCCTTTCTCGCTCCTCAGGGATTCCCAAGTCACATTTGATGCTCTTCTTCTCCCTGTCCCGACCCTGAAAGCAAACATTGCTCGAGCCTTCCAGCCAATCCCCGGCACCAAGCCGTTCCAGGTCAGCGTGACCAGTATACACACGCGCTCCTTGGACGAAACGCCGCCTTCCCTTGAGGTTCAAATTTCGAGGGAAATTGCCAAGAGGAAGATCGGCGTCATTACATGGTCCAGTGGCGTTGTTGACTGGCCCGAATTTCTTCTCAACTGGTTCCCAACGCTTGGAATGGGTGCTCAGAGTGCCATTGCATCTGCTAACGAGGTCAGTAATCTGCAAATTGGTCTAATTTCGCTCCCCAAGCAGGGCCAAGCTGCAATCGATTTTGATGATGACGACGAGGAAGAGAGTGGAGAAATGGAAGAGGACGTCCGTCATCTTCTCAAGAAAAAACGCCAAATCGACCAATCTGCCGAATCATGGCAAACCTATCTCCAGGCTACACCCGCCGGAGGCGCTTTTGTCTTGAACTATTCTCGCAACCTCTTCTCTGGAAAACCAGCCGATGATCCGGTAAAGACAGAATGGAGCTCTGACGGGTACTTCCCGATGCCGAGCATGGATCAGGCGCGTGCTGTGCGACTCGAGATCTCAAGCGTTATTGGGTTAGACATGTCTCTCAATTGGACCATCAAGGGTGTTCGCCGGGTTGGCGAGTACACGCGTGTTGGTCTCGGCGTTGGAATCGCGGACAAGGGTATCATGATGACAGTTTCATGGAGTCGGCTCGGCCAAAGCATTAATCTTCCGATCAATGTTTGCCCGGCTAGTGAGGCGACAAGCGGCGCTGCAGCGCTGACTGCTATATTCCCTTGGCTGGCCTACTGCGCTATTGAATTTGGCTATATTCGCCCGCGCGATAGGAAACTCCGTCGACAAGCAGCTGCTCGACGCCACCGTGAGCTCACGAAGCTGATCCCTAAGAAGCACGAAGAGAGTCTCCAGGCCATCGAGCTCATGAGGGATCAAGTGCAAAGACGGCAAGCCCGAGAGGAAGCGCAAGAAGGTCTGATCATCTTGAAGGCCGAGTATGGTTACATACCGCCAGTAAACAAGAAACCCAAACATGGGTTCGCGGAGCCCAGGGTGATTGATGTCACTATCCCTGTGGCTGCGCTAGTTAACCGGGGTCAATTGGTGATTCCCGGCAAGACTATCAAGGTAAGTCAAGCGATACGCCTCGCATTGGTCATTGTTCTTAGGAGCGGGATACTAATTTCGATCTATCTAGTTCCAAATTTTGGGATTCCATGACCCTGCGCCTTTGCTACCCAAACGATTGAAGATCTGGTATAGATTCCAGGGGCGCGATCATTTCGTCGAGGTAGGCGATAAAGAGGACATCGCATGCCCCATGCGTACACACTTTATATCCAATGAGTGAGTATATCTAGACTCAGCAAAAGGTTATAAAGCCTTTGTTGCCATGTAATTATACCATCTAGTCGTTCATTAGCGACTTGTTATTTCAAGCTCCATTCTTACGGTTTTACTACCCTTTATATTTGTAGGTCTGAACTGTCATATTTCTCTGCAAGTTTTTTAAAACTTAAGGGCTCTCTCATAGTGATCATTGCAATAATATCATTGTCTTACTCAACTATAAATCATTACTCAACGTCACAAGTCTTGGCATGATTGGATACGTCGGTCCATATAGACCAACCACGCAATTTGTCCAGAAAAGCCAAATGGAGCGTCACTCCAGGGTCTCTCCTCATCATCCACGAGTGCACAGCTCTTGAGTTGCTCACTCTTGAAATGTCGACCTCTATTGCTTCGGGACTTTTCAAGTCCCTCCCAAAACCAAAATACACTGGCGAGGAGGAGGAGTTGCCACAACATGCGCAACCCCGTGGTCCGCGCGTGGTGGGCGCCGACCAGATTGATGAGACACAGGTTGTCCTACGGGTTAGTTGTGAATTATTCTATTGACATCCTAGTACGTGGACTAATTGTTCCTATCTTCCAGAGGACCGGACCCCCGCCTTACCAAAACCGTGCAGGATGGCGACCTCGCGCCCCCGAGGATTTCGGTGACGGCGGCGCGTTCCCCGAGATTCTAGTCGCACAATACCCCCTCGACATGGGCCGAAAGGGAAAGTCCAAGTCGAATGCGCTTGCTCTTCAGGTTGATGCCGAAGGCAAGGTCAAGTACGACGCGATCGCCCGCCGCGGACACGCCGACAACCGCACCGTCCATGCCTCGTTCAAGGATTTAATCCCGCTCCGACAGCGGGTGGATATGGGAGAGATTTCTCTGGATAAGCCGTCTGAGGAGGAGATCGAAGCTCAGATGGAGAAGACAAAGGCTGCGCTTCAAACTTTGGTTGAAGGAGCTTCATCGGCGCAGAAGCCGAAGAACGTCAAGGGCGGACAAAGAGCAGAGCCGACTTTCGTCCGATACACCCCGGCCAACCAGATGGGCAACAATGGCCGCCAGAATGACCGCATCATGAAGATCGTTGAGAGGCAGCTGGATCCTATGGAGCCGCCCAAGTTTAAGCACAAGAAGATTCCTCGTGGCCCACCCTCCCCGCCGCCGCCCGTTATGCACTCGCCGCCTAGGAAGCTCACTGCGGAGGACCAAGAAGCTTGGAAGATTCCCCCACCCGTGTCGAACTGGAAGAACCCGAAGGGCTACACCGTGCCCTTGGACAAGCGTTTGGCTGCAGATGGTCGCGGACTGCAAGATGTCTCCATCAACGACAAATTTGCCCAGTTCGCAGAGGCTTTGTTCACGGCGGATCGACACGCGCGTGAAGAGGTGCAGCTCCGAGCTCAGATGCAGCAGAAGTTGGCAGAGAAGGAGAAGGCACAGAAGGAGGAGCATCTTCGGATGTTGGCTCAAAAGGCTCGTGAGGACCGCGCTGGTCCCAGTGCTCGTGTGTCGCGAGCTCGTTCCCGCTCCCGAAGTGCTAGCCGCAGTGCATCTGTATACTCCTCCAGATCTGCTACCCCTAGCGAAGATGACGAAGCCGCCCGAGACCGCGCAGAGCAGCGCCGCGAGCGACGCCGCGAAGATGAACGACAGCTGCGCCAGTCTCGCATGGGCACAGAGCGCCGCATTCAAACCATGGCCCGAGAACAGAACCGTGACATCTCCGAGAAGGTCGCGCTTGGTCTGGCCAAGCCTACACAGAGCTCTGAATCTATGTGGGATTCACGTTTGTTCAATCAGACCAGTGGCATGCAGGCTGGTTTCAATGAAGATAATCCTTACGACAAGCCGTTGTTCGCTGCGCAGGACGCCATCAACAGCATCTATCGTCCACGTGCCCAAGCTGATGCCGATGACGAAGATGCAGGTGAAGGCGAAATGAGCAAGCTTGAAAAGACCAAGCGATTCGAGGTCCTGGGTCGCGCCAAGGAGGGATTCCGTGGCGCTGCTGAAGCCGAGGTAAGCTTCCGTCTAATATACATTTTCTTTTCGCCGCTAACAAGTTGTTCTGTAGGAGCGCCAAGGTCCTGTTCAGTTCGAGAAGGACACTGCTGATCCATTTGGCATTGACAACATGATTGCCGATGTGACTGCGGGCCAGAAGCGTTACGGAATTCAGGAAGCTGAAGGTGATGATGACCGCAAGTCGAAACGCCCGAGGGTCGACGACGAATAAATCCGCTTTTGTTAATCTTTCTTCCATATGTGTCTTATGTTCTCTCGTGATCTTTCACGGGCATCGGAAAATATCCTCAATGCATTGCGGGCGTTTCTGGCAGTGTGATTCCTACTATATTGTTCACAAAGGGGAATCGAATCGAAGCGAGTCAATCGGGCTTGCTTATGTGAAATGTGATAATACATTTCGTCTACAGCTACCAATAAAAATCATGTTGATCTATTTCGTTATCTTGAATGAATGTGTACAGGATTGAGACAACTTTCACACAAGCAATGACGCAACATACGCATCTAAGAGAATGTATTGGTAACTCATAGCTAGATACATCTAGGTAAAGAGGATGTCTCAGTAGTCAGACCTCCTCCCCATCCCCTCATGTATTCCGTGGGACCTGTCAATGGCTACGAACCCACAAGGCTCAGCCAATGACTTTGTCAAAGAACATCCACAAGAACTACCAATTTGATGTCGGCGCGGACCTGCACATGGACCTCAACAAAGTGGTAATGTTGATATCCTTGTGTGTAGGTAAGGCACAGCCCTCTACGCAATCTCAGGTGGGCTACGGAGAGATGGGGGTCGAGGGCTGAAGAGAGGAAGAAGAGAAGAGGAGGAAAGGTGAGAGAAGCCCTTTTATATGGTCACGTCTCAGGTACCTTCCTAAAATGGACGAGCATTGTGTTTGCCTCGCTGCCTTAGGCCTCTTTATACACATCACTCTGTCTTCTAACACCAGATATGTTTCTTTGACTATTGTTTCGTCGCATCTATACCTAAGAAGATAACTATGCCAAATGTTTACACAAGGCCATGTACCATATGTGGTCTTAAGTGGAATAAAACTCACGAAACGATATATGTATGATGACCAATTCCAATGACTGATTGTATAGAGCAGACTACATAAACACCTTAACGCGAACTCAGTTCTTCACCTCCTTCGCATTGGGAGACAGAACACCCTCCAACCACTTGTAAGCCACAGGCAGACTGTCAGGGTATCCCATGTGCACCCTGTTCTCGAAGAACCGACTTTCCTTAGGACCGCCATGTCTGAGAGTCACCATGCAGTCTTCAATCGGAACAACGCCATCATCCACGCCCTGGAAACAATCAGCTTTGGTCTTTTTGTGACAAGGTGGAACAGGAATACATACGTTGAGCAGAAGCAAGCGGCAGTTATCCTGGTCAAGAACACCAGTCTCCACAAGCGAGAACTTCTTCTGAGCATTCTTCACAAACTCCTCCTCGTTGTCGTAGCCATACTTCTCCGCCATAGCGGAAGTAAGCCTAGCATCATAGTTAGTATCACAGCACAAAAGTAAAACTCAATCCGTACTCACACAAACGGATACTCATGATCATTCGCCTTAGACAACCACTCGGGATCGAAAACATAGTGCGCTCCAGGTCCATGAGCAACACACCCCACAAGACGGTCACGGTGCGTACAAGAAGCCCGAATAGCATAGAAGCCACCGGCACTAAGCCCCCAAGCCGCGACCCGCGACATATCAAACTCCGGCCGGCGCTCCATGTAGTCAAGCACACTAGACCAGAGTCTGTCAGGCGACTCAGGGTCTGCCGGATCCGCAGGCGAGTCCGCTGTACCAGGAATCTCAACGACAACCGTCGCCCAGCCACGATTGATGATCTCGTGGGTGCGCTGGCTGTTATCCGGTCTGTAGCCGTCAAGCCCTGTCATGAGCAGGATGACAGGGACGGGGTTGGTGGCGCTCGCTTCCTCAGGTATGCGGATGTACATTGGGATTTCGGGGCCATCGCGGCCGGCGCGGCGCGTGTGGGGAATCACTTCCTCCGTGATGATGGGTTTCCATAGCGAGGCGGCTTTCAGGTAGACTTGTTTCTGGCGCTCGAAGGCGCGGCGCTTGATGGAGGTCTCCGGGCGTGTTGAGGGGCTTACATAGGGGAAGCGAGAGATGCGGAGGATGACTGCTGCACGGCGGTAGAGGTCCGCGGCGCGGTCGAGCTCGCCTTTGCTGAGGGCTTGGGCGGCTTCGTTCTCCAGGGCTGTTGCTGTTGGGAGGAATGCTTCAGTGTAGGCGTCTGTGTTTGCATCGTTGATGTTTTCCTGTTGTTATTAGTCGTATATTGGGATTGGATGTGTTTGGGGATGCTTACAGCGATGAGCTTTTGGAAAACGGGCTCGAAGTCTTCAACGGATCCATCGTGGAATGGGTAGATGGATTTCGTGGCCTGGTCAATTATCCGTGTTAGGTTTCTGGGTCATATCTTATTGCTGGGAAGAGACGTACGCAGAATTTCCACTTTGACTCCCATAGAACCTTGATCGACCCTTGGTGAGGGTAGACAGTGTCGAACTTGTCTCCGAGAATCCAAGGAACCATGTTGAGAGAGATATAATGGAGTAGATTGACGGGTGATATTCTTTAGCAAAGGGCCTTTCTCTATTAGACTACGAATTCGAGACATTTGCGCTCTTTTAATTGACTTGCCATCACCTGCATTTGTTGGTAGCATCTATTACAAGGTCACATGCAAGGCCGATTATGGCCATCGAGACGAAAACAGTAGGCTATTATTGCTACATGCCTTGAATCACACTTGTTCGGCAAGTATCCACCGATTGTGATCTCGAAGATGCCCGGAAGCGGCAGTCAAGGTGCCGGGGAAAGGGATGCAGATCGGATGCTTCGATGTCTCACTCGATTACCCTCTCGGTTCTCGGCTTCTGGGCTTCCCGACTTCCGGTGGCCTTTCTCGTGGTATTTCTGGTGTTGGACTCGTCATCTAGCCCTAAGTAGGTAGCCGAAAGAGGTCCGAAATGAACATTTGTACTCAAATGGTGGGATATTGTCAAGAAGCGCCATTCAGTTTGATTCTATGAAAAAGAAACTTAAAAACTAATAATAAAACAAGGACAATGCATGATTTAGATGGTAATCGGCCCTGATCCTATACATGGCTCCCAGTGTTCCCCCAATGACCTCAAAACGGAAAACAAGAAATATATCCAACGTCTCCAATCCAACACGACAGTTCAATTAGATGTTAGCTCCACCGTTGCAAGGCAAAATTTGACCTGCAAGGAATTAGCAATGTTCCTAGGGGTAAATGAAACATTCCTGTACTCACCGTTGATCCATTCTCCACCAGGACTGGCCAAGAATGCCACAATGCGGCCAATATCTGCAGGCACACCACAGCGCCCAAGGGGACTACCATTAGCAAGTGCCTGCTCAATCTCATCAATAGAGGAGTTCTGGTCACAGCCAGGCGCATAACGCCACGCATTGCTCATCCACATATCACTCTTGACACCAGCAGGCGCAATCGCATTGACAGTAGCCCTCTTCTTGCCAAAGTCAGCAGCAAAGCAACGAGTAAATCCCTCCACTGCGCTCTTGCTACCCGCATACAGCGAGTGGCCGGGTACACCCAGGCCCGCTGCAATGGACGACATCAACACAACACGTCCGCCGGGCTGGATGTGATCGTAGGCATTCTTCGCGACGAAGAACTGCGCACGAGTGTTGAGGTTGAAAACGGCGTTGAAATCTTCCAGCGTAGTCTCGGACAATGGTACGAACATCTCTGTTCCAGCGTTCGACACGACAATATCCAGCTGTCCGAAGTGTGAGACGACCTGACTGAAGAGTTTCTCAATTTCCTCGACCTTCGTTAGGTCAGCTTGGAATGCAGCGCCATGGACGCCCTGTGCTTGAATTTCTTGGACCACTCCGTCGGCGGTCTTGGAGCTGCTGGCGTAGTTGATTGCGACGTTTGCTCCCTTCTTCGCTAGCTCGAGCGCAATGCCGGCTCCGATGCCTCGACCACCACCGGTCACTAAGGCAACTTTTCCGGCGAGCTCGAGGTGGGAGTTAGGGTTGGGGTTGACCATATTGGTGATTGTTGATGTCGGTGGAGGTGAGGAGTGAATGGTTGTAAATGAGGGTAGAATCACGTTGGGGGTGTTGTAGTCTAATAGAGGCCAGTATTTGGAATAGTAAGACCAGGCTCCTAGATGGAATCAGGTAAATGGCTTGGCTACATCATCCATCCCTGTTGCAAGGCTGGGCTTTGTTTCCGAATTTGTCGGTAAGACATTACAATGGCAGTCATGGGGCACCGGAATCAAGATCGGGTCCTAAAACAGAGTAGCCGCTTGCGAACAATGACTCAACAGTGGCCTGAACTTAGTACCGCATGCGGAACGCCATGAGGACTTGGCTCCACCATCTGTCACATTAGAAGGGTTGCATTGTTGTGCTTCCGTGCATGGGAAATATGCTGGCCCAGATCTGAGGAATGTGACTTTCAAGGAAGTCTGTTGGAAGTGATCTTTGGATATACAACAGTAGGCACGCCTTGTAGCTATAATCAAAGCTCGAACTATCTACAGAAATCAAGTACTGGAGAATCATGTCTCCTGCCGTAAAGAACAACACCACTGAGCCCAACTTGGACATCAGCTTCCAAGGTCTGTCTCAATCCACCCTCATTCACCTGCTTGTACTAACACTACCAGATTACCTCATCCTCTCAAAACTCGTTTTCGACTGGGCAGACAGTTACGATGCAAAGGTAGACATCCCACAACATTCAACTTCGTTCAACATTATTAATGCTGACAATGTTCCAGGACTGGGACCGCCTGCGCAGCATCATCGCCCCAACCCTGAAAGTCGACTACACCAAGATCGGTCTGAAGAAATGGGACAACATGGCCGCTGAGGAATACATGGCCATGGTCACCCATCCCGGCTTCCTGGGTGACAAGACCATCAAGACCCAGCATTTGCTTGGCCAGACATGGTGGGAGAAGGTCTCTGACACCGAGGTTATTGGTCACCACCAGCTGCGTGCGGCGCACCAAGTCTATGACACTGAGGCCTTAGAGACTATCAGGCTGCGTGGCCACTCCCATGCTACGAATGAGCATTACTATCGCAAGGTCAATGGTATCTGGAAGTTCGCCGGGTTGAAGCCAAATGTGCGCTGGAATGAGGGGCGCTTTGATGAGGTTTTCAAGGGCCTTGACTAGGTATCCTTGCCACAATCGGTGTTATGGGGTTGATTTATATAGTCTGACATACTATTTGAGTTTATTTTACTTGATTTCCATTGTTTGTGAGATTTGTTGCGTGGCATAGCGTAGCAAGAATTTCGTAGGTTATATTTCCAAGCTATTGCAAGGTCTTAATGTCAGCAACAACAGCAACACCATCACTCGGAATCCTCAGTCCGAAACAGCCAAGTCACAGCGATCATAGCTATCATCTTCGTTGACTGTTGGATACACCACCTTCCTGAGCCAGCTGTGCCTTATCCTGCTCTTCCTTGTCTACTAGAATCACGTTCCGCACTTTCCCGAAGGCACAATTCACCAGTGAAGTCAGATATTCATTCTCCGGATGTTGTCGATAAATCTCTTCGAAAACATCGCTAAAGTGGGGAGGTTGGCTATCTTGGCCCTCGTTCTGACCAATGGTGAGACAATACACTCGCATTAACAGTAGATGCAGTGGCTTCGAGTATCTTGTCTCTGTCATCTTTGGTATAGGCGTTGGAAGGGCTGCAGCTCATCAAGAACTTGGCAATTGGATTTGCTGTGGAGAACAGCATCCAGATATTTTGATCGACAAGACTTTGCCAACTCACGTAGATCATGATGCATGTGTAATCTGAGCATATCCGCTTCCATGGGAAAGGAGACCTCGGCAAGTCGCATCGTATCTCTCGTCCAGTTGATTAAGTCAAGCACATTGATTCGCAGGCATATTTTCTAGCGAAGCAATATTCTCCACTTTATATTGGCATCCGTACCAACTGGGCATTCTGTAAGATCGTTTTCTGCTGATGGATTTGTTGTAGCGTCTAGTTCTCCCGGGATGTTGGTTAGTTCGTTAATTGCTATCAAGGAGGAACCGCCTCCATAGTCGCGTTGATGAGAAGGTTGGATATTGGGATTCGCAGGCGTTAGAGACAGGGTCGGCGATTCAACACTTCTTCCGTAAACTGTAACCAGAAAGGCCGTGCAATGAACCTTGCACTGATAACGCGACAGTCTTTGAGTATAGTCAGTCTTGAGCCTGCGACATATTCTCCGGAGACATACTCGTGTGACATCCATGGTGTCTCGAGCAATTTACTAATGATCTAAGAGAATTCCCCCCAGACAGTTGGTACAAAGAGCAGGGTTGAGTTCAAGTTGGGTCTTTGAAACACTTGCACGTAGAACGGGACATTGAGTCCTAGGTTTTCATCTTTGATTGGCGGTCTCTTGTCTTTTGTCTTTTGCCAGTAGATGAAGAGTGCGGGTCAGTAGTTTTCGTCTTCAGAGCTCGAAGACCTGATCTTATCGCAACAAAATGCCTGTGGGGCCATCTTTTCTGAGAGTGGATCTGAATTAGAGAATTGCGGGGATTTATGGGGTGCAGGCTAGATACTGTTGATTGAGCTGATCGTAATGCGTTCAATGCTGTATACTTCTAGTCTCAAGATACAAGTTTGATTCGGGGGAAGCGTCCAAAGTCCACTTAACCTTCTGTATATCAATTTCCTCGTAAGTCGAAAGCAGCAATAGATGCAAGGTGTTTTTGCAGTCCCCATAGGTGTGAGAAATAGGCAAGAGCAACCATAGGCCCATTAGGTGCTCTTTCCCGATCTGAGGTGCCTTCCTATCTGGGAACACCGTCACCTACCCCAGTTCCCCCATTGCCTTCAACCACTGGGAAGGTATAAATACCTGCCCCCTCCCACCTTTTCTCTTTTCTCTTTTCTTCCTTCTTCATCTCCCTGCTTCTCAGCACTATGGTCTCCTGTCACCGAACAGTCCACCATAATATCCCCTCATCCTCACATGACAAATACATGCTTACTTATTTTTAGTTCCTCCCCTGATATAAAGTACATACAATAATATATATCCCCTTGTTCCCCTTGGAGATTACATACTGACTTGCTTTTAGACAATGATTGGGACCATCCATGGTGACGACTTCGGGCCTTTTCATCTTGAACATCCACCATAACCTTGACATCCATCTTGACCTTGACATCCATCTTGACCTTGACATCCATCTTGACCTTGACATCCATCTTGACCTCGACCATTGTTCACCGTGCCCTTGGCCATCCACCATAGACACTCATCATGGCTACCCACCTTGACCACCTGTCACCTGTCATGACAGTCCACCGTGACCTTAACCACCACCATCCACCGTGACCACCACACATCATGGCCCTTCCAACAATTATCCGTTTCAAACACCAGTCTGACCGTGGCGGCCTTCGGGCTCAGGACAATCGGCAGGCTGGTCACAACCACTTCAAAAAGAACCACTTCAAACAACCACTTCCGGTCTGACCGTGGCGGCCTTCGGGCTCAGGACAATCGGCAGACTGGTCAACCAAACATCAATCAACTACCATCATCCATCATCCACTTCCAGTCTGACCGTGGCAGGCTTCGGGTTCAGGACAATCGGCAGGCTGGACAGTCAACCACTTTAATCACCCACCTCGTCATCCACTTCAACCACTTCCAGTCTGACCGTGGCGGCCTTCGGGCTCAGGACAATCGGCAGACTGGTCAGCCAAACATCAATCAACCACCATCATCCACTTCAAGCAACCACTTCAACCAACCACTTCAACCAACCACTTCAACCAACCACTTCAACCAACCACTTCAACCAACCACTTCAACCACTTCCAGTCTGACCGTGGCGGCCTTCGGGTTCAGGACAATCGGCAGGCCGGTCAACCAAACATCAATCAACCACCATCATCCATCATCCATCATCCATCATCCATCATCCATCATCCATCATCCATCATCCAGTCTGACCGTGGCGGGCTTCGGCTTCAGGACAATCGGCAGACTGGTCAATCAACCACCAACCATCCACTTCAACCAACCTTCCGTCCTGACCACCTTCCATCATGGGCCTTCTAACAATCATGACCACTCTCCACCGTGCCCACTATCAACCATCCATCATCGACCACGACAACAATTCTCTCCTACTGGCCTCTCATCCACCAAACAATCACTCATGACAACCATCTTGGCCTTTGATCTGGCCTCCCATCCACCAGGGAACATCCAAAAATCATCTATCACAAGTATCCATGACAACCTTTCAACGTTAACATCAACATCAACCTCAAAAACCACCTTAGCCTTCTTTCTGGCCTCTCATCCACCAAAAGAACATCCAAAAAACAACACTCACAAACATCCATGACAACCCTTTACCATCACCATCACCATCACCATCAATACCAATATCAACATCAACATCAACATCCTTCTTCGCCTTTCCTCTTAGCCTCATTCGTTTTGAAATTCATCCAACAAAAAGCAAACATTTTCGACATACATTTCGACAACCCCACCACCATCTACCATGAGAATCATCAAACTCGAACCCCTTTTTATCGCCATCTATGACAACAACCATCCACCAATGACATTCGCCCATTTTGACATATTTCCATCTTGACCATCTACAATGAGACTTCCGATCTACTGTGACCACCATCTTCCATGAGACTTTCCATCTTGGCCATCCACTGTGGCCACCATCCACTACGGTCTCTCCATCTTGACCATCCACTATGGCCACCATCCACCATGAGCCTTCTAATATTGGACATTCACTAAGTCCACCATCAATCATGGGTGTTTCCGTCTTGGTACTGCGGCCACCATACACCAGAGACTTTCCATACAATACGACAACTGTGGCCACCACCATCCATCATCGGTCTTTCTCCTTTGACCATCTACTACGGCCACCCTCCATGGATCTTCCTCTCTTGACCAATCCCTGCAGCCATCGGTCTTTCAATCTACGATGACAAGTATGAGCGTCATGTCGTCAGCTATCACAAATATTCCCACGGCTTTCGTACGGCTCTCTCTCTCTCTCTCTCTCGTCAAAATCAAGACTCGATGGAACCTACAAACAAACAATGACCTTGGGAAATTTCTAGGTCAAACAAATCTCCAGCACCGAGTACAAAGCAAACAAGTACGATCGAACCAGTCACCTCAAAGTGGCCGCACAAATTTCCTGGGTCAAACAGTTTCGTCCAGTGACCAAGTCACTCTCAACGGAAAATGCCCGTCGAGATCCGCCAATCAAGTCTTTTTTTATGTCTCATCATTATTCCAATTCAACATCACGAAGATGGTTTTGTCTGCACGAACTGACGTTCGTATGTCATCAAGGATTAGCTAGAAAAAAGAAAGCAATTTGATTTTATTCTATTCTTCTGTAGATTGTCTTGTACATCAAAATAAGTTGGAATCAAACCTATCCATCTTTTCTTTATGGTCCGCCTTCTCAATATCTATAGAGCACAAACCTTTTCGCTTCCTCTGCAACTTCGAGGGGCATAATAAGTCATACCTTTAATGTGATCTTCGAGAAATAGGATTGAAGGCTTGCAATTCTTCTGGCTAGTAACGAGTCATGGGGTTGATGTCGAAAGGTTGTCTAGTTATGGCATTTTCTAGACAGTCAGAGTAGGTAGACAGTATGACAACCACTTGGATGTGGGTGTTGTCATAATCGTACCCGTCATTCTTGAAGTCGAGTGTGTTGTGTTCAAACCTTCACCGCTAAAATCCGCACACTCGCATTTTCTTTCCAAAAATCGACGAAGCTGGCGATTATTTCGCCAGTTGAGGCTAGATAGTCTTTACCGTTCAAGTTTTCGGCTGGTACTAGAATTCGGATTGAATTATGGGCGAGGGCGCCGGATACAGCCTGGTTTAATTTCTCCATGAAGCGTAGAACGTTTCACTTGGTGAATTTAAGTAATAGGTGGAATAGTTGAGAAAGAGTTAGACATTTGGTGATGTTAGATTCTCGAATATATAACCCAAGCATGGCGGGGGTTATTTCTTACCCATGCGAGCGTATAATGTCACTGTTGTGTGCAGATCGGCTTACGAGGCCTATAGATTTACTTATCTTCCTCTAGATCTACTGGAACGAGGCTAGGATACTTAGTGTGCTAACCCCGAGAATTCATTCCACGGATCTTTCTTTCTCAAACGATCAAAACCTAGCTATTCAATCGTCAAAACCACCACAATCTCCATAATCGTACACGTCATTGTTCCCTCCACCGCAGTCATAGCTGCCATAATCATCAGAAGATACCCCGGGATAATAACTGCCATAGTCCTCAGTGTGCAAGTAGCTCTGGCTCGTACCATCATCATGGAAAGTAGCCTGGGTCTCAAAATGAGGCGAGTATGACCCTGCGTCATCTTGGGCTACCTCAGTACTGAGTGCAGGCGAAGAAGGAACAGGTTGGTCTCCGTTGTCTTTATCGGTATGTTCAGTCTCGGACAGATATATCTCAGGATCTTGGCCTTGGTTTTGATCATGCTCATGCTCATGCTCATGCTCCTGGTCCTGGTCCTGGTCATGACTGTGCTCGTGGTCTTGCTTCCGGTTTATTCCACCATCACAATCATTACACCCAGTCCCAGTCACAACCGTAGTCGTGGTCGTCGTCGAACCCGGCACAAAAACAGTCGCTCCCCCAGTTCCAGTCCCCCAATTCCGTCCACACCCAGCTCCCAAATGCGATCCCCATCCAGATCCATATCCCATCCCAGATCCATACCCATAACTCGCGCCAGTTCTCTGTCCCCCGCGAGACCCCATTGATCCCAGCATAGGTCTCATACTAGATCTCGATCCTGACAGTTTATTCTTCAGTGCGTTCTCAATCTGCTTAAGCGGTTTAGCGATCCTTGATCGCCAATGACGGGTACTCCCCGTACTTGGTTCGTAGAGATTTAGATCGAAGATTCGGTCGTGCTGGGAGCATCGGAAGGTTTTGCATCTGTTTATACGATCAATATATGGTGAAGTCGTGGGGCGTGTATGATCAAGAGGATAAACAGGTTGGGTTAGCAACTCACTCATTCATCTTCACAAAATTCGCATCCGGACTCCCATCTTCAGCGACTTCTTCAAAATTCCCGTGTTTATCACTTCCAACGAAATACCGAATAGATTCTATCGGACCGCTGTTGATCTGCCGCACGAGCTGGATGCAGACGCTTGCTTCGGCGGGATCGGCGGATCCTGTTAGATTACCGATTATTGTTAAGGCCCATTTTGTGAAGTCGGTGAATGTTTGCTCATGTTCGGGGTTTGGGTGGTTGGTTGGTTGGATGGTTGTGCAGCAGAATAGATTTGACATTTTGGTAGACTCTTGTAGGGGATGTTTGTTGGATGGATGGTTCTGGGGGTTTATCGCGTGAAAAGAGAGAGTGAGTGAAGTCGTCAGGATGCGATAATTAGACTCCTACTCGATTAGGAAACGGAGCTGTTATTCCCAGGTACACGGTGAACCAAGGCTGACGTTGCGGTTATTATCGGGAGTGAAGATATACTCACTTTCTACCGTATAGACATGTATGGTTGAGTTAGGGATATTTGCCAAAACACTATATATCCGTGGTAGAAAGGGAGACAGGTGTTATACACGTCATATATAAGAGGAAAAGTATCGAAAGTGGCTTCTATTGGATTGGATAGTGTTGAATTTTATGGCAATTAGACATGATAAGTGAAAGAAAACTAATAGACAAGCATTTTACAGCCTCTATAAAAGCGCAACAGCATATCACAGATACGCGGATTACTCCCAGTCCTCGAGTTCAGAGAAAATATCACGATTACTGAAAGGCCAGAAACCCTTGGTACTCTCCGCAGTTGCTGCTACCGACGCCATGTCGGGAGAGTTTTGTGGGAACTTGGGGCGCGAGCCCTGTGGAAAGGGCACAGAAGGGGCTTGGGGAGTTGATGGGAATGGCTTGGCAGCGGGATTTGGCGCCACTGGTTGTTCCGATTTATGAGACGGAGCCGCAGAAGCGGGAACTTTGGTGCCCTTCTTCTTGGTATACAGAGCGCCGTGGCTGCCAGATTCAACCGTAGTATTGAGTCCGGTCAAGTCGAGACCCTTGTTGCCAGCGGCATTACCGCTGGTTTGTTGGGGATAGGCCCTGCAGGCGTCGTAATGGCTCTTCGGGGGAGCGTGGACGCTATCCGGGAAGGTCTCGGGTGCCTCGATGATAGTGGCCATAAGACCACCCTCGACGTGCCACTCGACGTGGCAGTGGAACATCCAAACACCGGGGTTATCTGCGCGGAAGCGAATGACGGCGTGGCCGTTGTTCTGGACCATGATGGTGTCGCGTCTGATCGGGGTCGTGGAGACGTTGCTCGTTAAGCCGTTGTAGAAACCGCCATCGACTGGGGTGCGCTGTAGAACCTGGAAGTGGTGGCCGTGCAAGTGCCAGGGGTGCAAGTTGCCGTGATGGTTGTTGATGATGATTTCGACGATGTCGTTGTGCTTCACGACGAAGGGGTTGACTTGGCCGTAAACTTCGGGGTTGGAGGAAAACTCGGATCCGACTGTGTTGGCAGTGTATAGAGACGGCACTTTCGGGGCGATGTAGGTCTTGTTATTAACCGTGTGGCGTGGGACACCGTTAATCAGCGCGACGCCGGTGTCCATAATGATCTGGTGGTTCACGGGCTCAAGCAAGGGCTCGTGGTCTGCTGGTACCAGGTTGACATCATCCACAAAGTCATCATTGAAGTCAATGTGCTGGAAAACGGGAGGCGCGGGCAGGGGCTTCGCCTCGTCGTATACCAACCAGGCGGTGGCATTAGGGTTGTAGTTTTCTGGGATGGTACGATTCTCGAAGATAAACATCATGTTGACATCCATAGTATCCCAGATCGCAAAGTTCTTGCTGGCGTCAGACTTGGTTTTGATCAGAACGCTCATACGCTGGCCGGTTGCGACACGCAGGAACTTGTCTCCAGCAGGGTAGGGGTCAGTATAGACGCCGTCGACCTCCACCACAGTCATCTCGTGGCCATCGATCACCCAGAAATGGCCGGGCCAGTTTCCAATACAGATGATGTGAACAAGATACGTTTTGTTAGGCAGCACCTTGATCTTGGTGCTGGTTGAGTCGTTGATCAATGTCGCGTCAGGAATGGGCTCAGCGCCATGGTTCTTCGTATTTTCCGTGGACTGATAGGTGTTGAGCAGCCCCGGCATCTCGGCATGGTACCAGTCGCTCAGAGTGAGTGTGAACTCATCGTCGAAGTGGAAAGGAGGACTAGGGTCACGAACGATCAGAGCACCACGGAATCCATCGGGGTACTGGCCCATGTCGTGCGAGTGATACCAGTACGTTCCGGTTTGGTTGATCTACACTGCAATTAGACGATATTCATCTTTCGCACTAGTGATTACTTACGTCGAAGTGATATTGCATGTGCTCTCCTGGCGCAAGCGGGCACTGGGTGACTCCAACGGCACCATCCATAACACCACTGCCCTCCTGGCGGATGCCGTGCCAGTGGATACCCGTGGACTCGTTTCCAAGGCCGTTGTAGACATCGACGATCAGTTTGTCGCCCAAATCCACATTGATCTGCGGGCAGGGCCATTGGCCATTGATACCAATGACCGGACGCTGGAACCCATCGGGGGAAGCATTAACCCAAGTGACGTTCCAGTCCAGGTAGACGTCCTTGGCTGCGGCTAAGCCAACCCAAGTGGCCAGCCCTAAAAGACTAAATTTGGCCATTGTGGGTGTATTTAACGAGCGAAAATGATGGCCCAAATCAGAAAGATAATAAAATTCTCTAAAACGAACGTGAAGACGAGGCCGGATCAACTAGAAAGCAAAAAAAAAAAAAAAAAAAAAAGAATGTAAAAGATCGCGGTTGTCGAATCGGCACAGATTGGCCGCTGTGATGGGATGTGGAAAGGAGTCACAACATAATCTGGACACTGAGCCTCTTTTAACGAGGGCGACAGCAACACAAACAACATCTTGTCGATCTGCAGGGGCCGGGTATGCGACTCGGGTCAGATATCAGTGTTATTCGTGCCTTCATTCATGAACTTTCAGGTTTGGGAGAGGGCAGATATGTATGGAGTTCAGGGTTTGGGCTCCCTTTGTTGAAGAATGCCCGAAGTTAGCTCCGAAGAATGTAGAGACTTCATAGGTGGTTCCTAGATCGCCACGCAAGGGGGTCATACTCGAGGTCGAAAGGCTTAGCCGTTCATAAACAGAACAGAAAATGAACTTTATGCTATCGCATCAAAGTATCATACATATCTTCCGAACATTGCTCACAGCAAGTCTAATTTTCCCGGACATATACACACATAATAGGATAGAGTCAAGCCAACCTAACTGATGGGAATTTCCCGTCCATGTCTAAAGATTCCGAGTGACGCACTGAAATTTCTTTCCATCTGCTACAGCGGCAAAGAAAAAAAGCATCCAGCTTTACAGAGGCCAATGCATGTTATCTCGCAGACACAAGCACAAGCCAATGCCGGAAAGCGGGGGATTTGCAGTCACCAGAGCTGTGCTCTACAAATTCGACAAATCAGACTGTCCGGCCGCATGTCAGACTGAACACTAGTCCTCCCGTATACCATAATTGTCTGCAGGCATGAGTCTGATAGGAGAAAGTCCGACCTCGGAAAACCTCGGCGTAAAAAGAAAAGCTAAGGGCTTTTTCCCCCCACAAAAGCCCAGGAACAAGGTGCATGTCCGTGCGCTAACTAAAAGCGCTACTGTTCTGATAAGCTGTGGAGTAAAACTGAAGAGATTTAGTCAAAATGTGTTTAAAAGGAAGATAAGTGGAAGAAATTTTGGGAGGAAAAAAAAAAAGAAGAGGCCCAGCTTCCTCTGAATATCTTGAGAATTATTTAACATATGTCGATGGCGCTTCTTCACTCCAAATAGCATCATCAAGCGTCGATGGCGTAATAGTCGACATATCCAAACCTCACATCTTCTCTCTCCAAAGCCATAACCCATGGATCAATCAATGGCTCTCGATGTACAAGTGCACTTCCTAGTGAGTCATTTAGATGGGCAGCAGACAACACTTGTACACCTACTAACTCAATGCTAGGAGGAACGTATTGTGCTGGTGCACATCCCATTGGAGCTGTACCCCTACTTCTTAAAGTCTGTACTCAAACTCATTTTTGATGAAACTCCACCACTGGAAGACGAGACAGACGACGATGCTGCATTTGATGATTTCGAACACGCGTCGGAGCATGGCTACAAACCCCCCGCATTCATGAATGTCTCCATCACTCCAGTGGAAGTCTCCGTCATGTGTCCCAGACGTCTGGTCGACAAATACTTCGTCCCAGTCATGGACCAACTCGACCAGTTGGATGTCTCCCTCCGACCCCGTCTAGTCATGAGCGAGAATGACTATATCGTCATGCAAGTCCTCGGCCAAGGCCTCGAGGCCGGTAAGCGGGTCCTGGAACTAACCAGTCCACTGGCCCTGGCAGGCATGTATGTGAACCCCCACTACCTTATACAAAAAAAAAAAAAAGGCATAGCTAACCCCCCCCCCCCCCCAAAGCTCCATCTTCTTTATCTCAACCTACTTCTCCGACTACATAATAGTCCCACAAAAAAGCAAAGCAAGCGTTATGACCGCGCTAGAAAAAAGAGGCTTCCAATTCGACAATGCTTCAGCCTTCATCACTAACCCCCTCAGCCCAACAATCGAAAGAAGACTCAGCGACCTCATCCCACCAGGAACACCGCCCCCCTCAACGCTAGGCGAGCTCCAAACCCGCACCTTCAACAACCTCCGCAAACACCAAATCACCCCATCCGTAGACCACTCCCTGCGTCTAGTCCAATGCGCCGCCCATCACGAATACCACTCCCAGGAATCATCAATGTCCATTCTCCGTGACGCCCTGACAACAGTCCTCCTCGTCGACGAACCACGCTTCCTCTCCCTCACCCTCGCAGCCCTCGATCCAGCAGCTTCACTCCTCATAGAGAAGCGTCTCCTCCCCCGCTTCGCCCGCCGCTCAACCTCCTCAACAGGAACGCCAACTTACGAAGATGGCTCCGGTCTCCTCCTAGGCTCAAAGGAAGACCACCTCATCCCAATCACCCTAGACCTCCGCGATCTCCCCCTCGAAGCATCCGGCATCGTCTGCGGCGTCGCAGGTCGGCTCGCGGACGCAGCTACCTCATCTCACCACACTTTCAGCGCGGATTCAAGCGTCGGAAGTGGTGCTAGTAGCATAGCCGGCTCAGTGCCTAAACTGTTCGACTCTTTCGGGACGCGTCTCGCGGCTCTTTCGATCGATAAAACACACCCGACGTCTACCTCGGCCCCGTCGCATGGATTACATCCCTTGCCCACCTCGACACATCATCTCCAGCCCGATGTGGATGTCGCCGATGCCGTCGAGATTAGTTTCTTGAGTACGGCGCGCGCCGGTACGATTATCGTTGGTGAAGATGAGCTTAGGAGGGCCATTGATGCGCTTGAGGAAGAGAAGATGCAGTCGCCTAAACGTGAGGGGATTCGGTTGGACTAGACTTCGCAGCTGGGGTTGAGGGCGGTTTTGGGTGGAGATTTATGGGGACTGGTCAGGTATGACTTATGTTATGATGTGTTTATGTGCTCATGTGGTTTCTGGGATAAAAGTTTGGGGTTCCGGCTTGTTTCAATATTTGTATGAATAATACCACAGTTGTCTTTGCTTTTTGAACAGTTCTGTTTATTTACGAATTCCAGAGTTGGATTAGTTACTGTCTAGACATTGTCACTTATACCTTGTCATAACTATAGCAAGCCGGTCTCGGGATATATATCCGTTGGGCACCATCCATGCCAACACGTTACAGATTGACATACACGCATAGAATATATATATACTGCATCATGTTATATCCTTCGTGCAAAGAGAAATGAATGTCGAAAATCGTCCCAAATCTCACAGCCAGGCGCCGTCTAAAGGGTTCCGGGGACGTATACGCTTGGGTCATTATTTCGTCTTGAGAAGGCGTGGGATATTTAAACGGGGGGGGGGGATCGAGTGATATATACCATAGCGAGGAACCAAGTCTGGCGTGGAATGTGGAGTGTCAGCTCTTGGCCTTTTCTGCACGTTCTAGTGATTGCTTTACCTTTCAGCTCTACATTGTATTGCGCCACGTAGAGACAATGCTGACGCCTGACTCATCAAGGGTATTTGATTGTCATCTCTTCCCACTTCAAATCCAAGCTCACATCTATACCCAAGATGACGGAAAATATGTCCGCACAGGAAATCATCAAAACATTGAATCTCTCTCCACATCCAGAAAAGGGGTACTACGTCGAGACCTTCCGCGACCGCCACTCATCAAACGACCGCTCACACAGTACCTGCATTTACTACCTTCTCGAAGGAAAAGCCGGTCTCTCGCAATGGCACCGTGTTCTCGATGGCACAGAGGTGTGGCATTATTATGCCGGCGCCCCGATGCAACTCTCACTATCCTGGAATGACGGGAAACCCATCCGGGATACAATTCTGGGGATTGACCTTGCCAAGGTGAGTTTTTTTTTTTTTTTCTTTCTCTATGTATACTACATGTGTACATTTATGTTTGTGTGGCCATATGGCCTTGTGTGTTCGGCTGGACGCTTAATTTCTATATAGGGCCAACGGCCACAGGCTATCGTTGAGCGGGGAGAGTGGCAGCATGCCAAAAGTTTGGGTGATTGGACACTCGTTGGGTGTACGGTGGCTCCGGCTTTCTTGTTTGAGTCTTTCGAGATGGCTGAGGCGGGGTGGGAGCCTCGCGTGGATGCTTGAGATTCACTAATGTGTAGAAGTTGAGAATATATGGGGGTTTTTTTTTAACCTTGAGCAGTCTAAGTACCATTGGTTCAGACGTGAAAGATTTCTAGTACTTGATTAGATCAATAGGTTTTAGTCTTGACGATTTAGCCCTAAAAGCCGAGATTACAAGAAGATATAAAGGCACAGAGCAAAAGGAGAAAAGGAAGATTTTATCTCATTAATTTGATATTCAAATAGTGCGGGGCATATATAAAGGCCCAATGGCCCCAGTAAACATATCTCTGGGATGGCTCTAGGGCGAACTTCACGTAGTGATATCTGGTCCGCGAGGTGGACCTATCTTCGCTCCCAGCCTTGCTCGCCGTCTCCGCATTGCCCCCGATTGTAAGTGAGAGCCCATCGTCAAGTCGATTGAAGGCTCACATTGGACACTGGTATAGGGTAGCAAGAGCGCCACAGACCTTGCTAGTCCATACGGAATTCCGCACTGTGTCCTGTTTCAGCAGCGATGGCATAATGTAGCGTGTAGTTTAATAGCCGGGATATTGGTCGACACGAGGGGAAGTCGCTCCGCCATGATAGCCTCGTCTTCGGGAATAAAAGACCCAAGTTCATCCATAGACTCGGACAGTACCTAAAACCAACAATTAGCATAGTTCTCCAAAACCCAACCCCCAAAACACAGTCCTTACCATCAGAACACCCAGCAGCCCAATCCCCAACATCCCCATTCCACGCTACACAACTAACAGCCTTAACATTTTCCCCAACAGGCACAGCAGCAATGACCTCCCCTTTAACAACATCCCAAGCAAACGCCGCCGCCCCAGCAGTCCCGGCTTCCCCTCCCTCCTCACTCCCACTGAGCACAACCGCATCCCCCATCGCAAAAACAGAGCGAACACGCAGCTCCGAATTCCGATACGAATGTCGCGGCTTCCCAATCCCCCGCACGCTCTTCTCCCCCCCAAAGGCATTAAGAAGCTTCCCATCCATCCGGTCCAGCATGCGGATATGTCCGTCCAACGTCGAAACGAGCAGGGCGTTGCCGTCGCTTGAGCAGCGCACGCTCGTCACAGGGTGCGCGAGGACATCGACAGTCGTATTTCCCGTTCGAATATCGTAGATTCGTGCGTGGCCGTCGTAGCTTCCGCTTGCTATCGAGTAACTCCCCATATGCACGTGTAGTGTTGAGACTGTGTCGGTTGCTTCAGTGAGGGTTTGGATGGGTTTGTAACTTGTGGATCGGGTGTCCCAGAGGTTGATTGTTGTGTCTGCGCTGCCTTGGGGGGATGTTAGTTTGGATGCTGGGAAGAAAATAGTGGGAATTTGGGCTTACCGGTTACTACGACCGAGTCGCCATCACCGGCAAATTGCACGGCTTCGACTCGGCTGTTGTGGCCCGACCAGCGTTTGGTTGTAATGCCTTGTTCCACATCCCAGAGGAAGACTTGTCGATCGCCGCCTACGCTTGCAAAGCGTGCGTTGTCGGATGCGACGGCGATGTCTAGGACGGAGTAGCCATGCGCTTCGTATTTTTGGATAGGGGATGTGGTTTCGACTGCTGTCGCGCTATCGGAATTGTTTGGAATGGCGCGCGAAAGGTGTACTGCTCGGTCTGAGGAGCCTGTGAGGACGTAGGTGCCACCGGAGCTTGAGAAGGTTACCGCGTTGACGGGGCCTGGAGGGGTGTTAGCATTTGCGGCTTGGAGTAGATTTGGGATTGGATGACGTCTAGTGTCTGAGGCTTACCATTGTGTGTTTTAAGAGTGTGGATATGCCTGGTTGGGAATACTGTCCGGGGCATGGCAGTCGAGTTGAGGTGGAGAGGAGGAATTGGCGGAGTTTAGAGAATGCGGGATGGAGCTCGGAGCTTCCACTCTAAAGTCCAGGACCCCGGAGTAAAACCAAAAATCACTACTTTACTTCGAATAGTTCAAACGAATTAATTCTGTATATCATACGGAATACAGAAGAAGTTATTATCAAGGTTGTAGACACACCATCGCTAGCTACCAGCGGTAAATGGATATAACAAACAAAACGAACCAAGCCCTCAGACAAAGGTGCTTCCAAGCGCGAACAAGACATAGGGTACTCAAAAGAGAACAAAAAACAAGAGCATGGTTCGACTCCCCTTTTGAACGATCCGGGTCGACTCCCGGTAAAATTGCAACATCTTAACGACGTCCATGGCTGCGGGTGCCGGAACCCTGCAGACCCTCGATCTCCTGCTCGAGGGATTTGATACTGCAATCGGTTAGCAATGAATTCACCGAAACAATAGTCCGGAACATACGCTGCATGAGTGGCCTCGAGATCCTTGTTGAGGCGGTCGCGCTCTGAGATGAGCTTCTGCTCCCACTGGCGGAAACGCTGCTCCTCGACCTTGACCTGCTCGGTGAAGCGCTTGCGCAGAGTCTCCTCTTCCTCCTTGAACTTGGGGTTGTCGAGTTTGCGTGGTCGGGCCTCGCCAAACTTGCGGGTCTCCATCTGCTGGGCACGGTAGGCCTCGTAGTGAGATTCTTCCGTGGTGTGAATAAGGTCGAGCATGTGGGTGCGGATCAGGATTGAGCGGAGCTTCTTGAAGTCGCAGTGGTCCTCGTTTTCCACCTCGGCGACACCCCAAGCGTACTGACGACCCTTAACAACACGACCATCGTTGGCCTTGACATCCTTCTCGGAACCGATGACAGCGAAAGGCATGGCAGCCATGAGGCTGCGGGCGTGGGAAGCGGCGTGCTCGTCGTCCTCCTCCACGGGCGGGGTGTAAATCTTGATGCCCTGGGCTTCGATAACAGCGCGGATCTACTTGATTGTTAGTCCGGATTCTCTCCTCCCCTGTACTCATTCCACTCACTCTATCCTTGTAGCGAACAAGGTCGGCGTGGCTCAGGGTATCAGCCTTGGCAACCACAGGGATGAGGTTGACACGGGAGCTCAGGCGCTTCATCACCTCGATATCGAGAGGCTTCAGGGTGTGTCCGGTGGGGCGGATGAAATACAGACAGGCGTGAACACGCATGTCGATCTTGTCGGTTCGGCGGGGCTGCTGCTCCTGGAGCATGTACGACTCGTGCTGGTCATCCAGGAACTCGATAATGGGTTGCCATGAATCACGGTTGTTCACGTAGTCTCCAAATCCAGGGGTATCAATGACGGTAAGGCGGACTAGAAAATCGACAACGCATCAGCTATCGAAACACGAAAGTCGAAATTCCTCCCCCGACACGAGAGTATCTGGGTCGCACCTTTGAAGAACTTCTCCTCGAGCTCGGCCTTGGTAATCTCAATCTCCACGGTTCGGTCGACCTGCTTCTGGTGGCGGCGCTTGTGATCGGCATAGTTCTTAATGGTGGTGGAGAAAAGGGTGTTGATGAAGGTCGTCTTTCCCAATCCCGACTCTCCGGCAACCTGATCGATGCACCATTAGCATCAATACGCGCGGAGCATTTCCCTCGAACTGTAGAACACACCATAATAGTAAAGGCTGCACCCCGCTTCGCGACAATCTTGTGACTATACAAGCTTGATTAGAATCTTTTTGTATCCACCGTAATTATTCGAAGGTACACACCGCTGGTTGGGGAGCTATATCAAAGACGGCGAGTTAGCTTTATGATATCACAAGGAGGGTTCTGGCATCCAAATAGCTTACGTTGGCAATGCCAATGGGCGTGGCGGTCTCGGTCGACATGGTGGGTTATAGGGGGGATTAAAAACAATTGGGAATCAACACAAAAAAGAAGATGAAGAAGGAGGTCCCTGTGTAGAGTACCAATATTGAGAAGAGAAAATCAGTCGACTCCTGAGGAGAAAAAAAAAGTGAAAAGGAGGAACGAATGTGAAATTGGATCTCTCGAACTGCCCGTCGCTGCTTCCCCCTGAATCTCCTTTCGTTTTCTGGAGTATACCTCGCCTTGCCTATCTGGGTTTAGCGCGGAGAGCTAGTACCTATTGGGCTCGGGGCCGGAGCATGGATGATCCGAAGGCTCTTATCACGGTAGCTGGTTGAATTATCTCTAATTTTTTGATCTTTGAGATCGCCGACAGCCAAAATGAAGACAGACTTTAAGGTATGTACTACGTTTGGATTCTGGATCGCATACAATTGCCGGAAAGCCTTGATTATGAAGATGAATACTAACAATCTCAATTTTAGTTCTCCAACCTTTTGGGGACGGTATATCGCAAAGGAAATCTTCTCTTTACTCCCGATGGCACATGCTTGCTTTCGCCAGTAGGCAATCGAGTCTCGGTCTTTGATCTAGTACAGTATGTGTCGCCCGGTCCTTGGTGTGGTAATTTGGAAAGCAACCCGCTCACAATTACTTTTATAGAAATACTTCCTATACCCTGCCTTTTTCGCACCGTACAAACATCGACCGTCTTGATCTTTCGCCCAAGGGTAATCTTCTGTTGACAGTGGATGAAAATGGCCGCGCAATTTTGACCAACTTCCACCGGCGCATCGCCATTCACCACTTTTCCTTCAAAGGAAGAGTCTCCGCACTCAAGTTCTCCCCGTCCGGCCGACACTTTGCCGTTGGCGTAGGACGGCGCCTGCAAATCTGGCAGACGCCTTCTACCCCCGGCACCGAAACCAATGGCGAGATTGAATTCGCTCCATTCGTTCTACACCGGGATCTTGCTGCCCACTTTGACAACATCGAAAGTGTCGAATGGTCCAGCGATTCACGCTTCTTGCTCACTGCCGCCAAGGATTTGACGGCGCGAGTATGGAGTATGGACCCGGAAGAAGGTTTCGAGCCCACCACTTTGGCGGGACACAGACAGGGTGTGGTGGCTGCCTATTTCAATGCGACACAAGAAGTGGTAGGTGCTTACTGGAAATTGGCTCAGCTGGAAATACCATATTAATGTTATCCATAGATTTACACTGTCAGCCAAGATGGCGCACTCTTCCGCTGGGAGTACGTCGCGAAAAAAGACGAGGAAACGATGGAAGACATTTCCGACGCCCGATGGAGGATCGTTAAAAAGGATTTCTTCATGCAGAACGACGCCAAGGTCAACTGTGCTGCGTTCCATGCACCGACAAACCTTCTGGTAGTAGGCTTTTCCAACGGGCTATTCGGGCTCTACGACCTGCCAGAGTTCAATATGATCCATCAATTGAGGTAGATGAATCTGTGACACCCTCCATTTCGCAGTGGCTAACATATCCCCTAGTGTCTCCCAGAGCAACATTGATGTTGTAACAATCAACAAATCAGGCGAGTGGCTAGCATTCGGATCGTCCAAGCACGGTCAGCTGCTGGTGTGGGAATGGCAGTCCGAGTCATATATCCTCAAACAACAAGGGCACCTTGATTCTATGAACGCCCTCGCATATTCACCGGACGGTCAGAAGATTGTTACGGCTGCCGATGACGGTAAAATCAAGGTTTGGGATGTCAAGTCAGGCTTCTGCATTGTCACATTTACGGAACACACCAGCGGAGTGACCGCGTGTCAGTTTGCGAAGAAGGGAAATGTCTTGTTCACAGCATCTTTAGACGGCTCTATACGTGCATGGGATCTTATTCGCTACCGTAACTTCCGAACCTTCACAGCACCATCTCGACTGTCATTCTCCTCGTTGGCCGTGGACCCTAGTGGAGAAGTGATCTGTGCCGGTTCACCGGACTCTTTCGACATTCACGTATGGTCCGTGCAGACCGGTCAATTGCTTGACCAGCTTTCCGGTCATGAGGGTCCAGTTTCCAGTCTTGCTTTCGCCGCCGATGGCAACCACCTTGTCAGTGGAAGTTGGGACCACACAGTTCGCATTTGGAGCATCTTCGGTCGGTCACAGACCAGTGAGCCTCTCCAGCTCATGTCAGACATTCTCAGTGTGGCCTTCCGTCCAGACGGGCAACAAGTCGCTGCATCTACCCTGGACGGTCAGCTTTCCTTCTGGTCCGTTGAAGATGCTGTGCAGCAAGGAGGAGTTGACGGTCGCCGTGACGTCTCTGGAGGACGCCGAGTGTCCGACCGCCGTACTGCTGCCAATGCCGCAGGCACCAAGTCTTTCAACCGAATCACATACAGCGCAGACGGTAGCTGCATTCTGGCTGGTGGAAACAGCAAGTATATCTGTTTGTATGATGTCGGAACAGGATCATTGATCAAGAAGTTCACTGTCTCCGTCAACACCTCTATCGATGGTACCCAAGAGATCCTGAACAGTCGTGACATGACTGAGGCTGGTCCCCGTGCTCTTATCGACGAGACCGGTGAAGCATCTGATCACGATGATCGTGTTGATAGCACTCTTCCCGGTGCGAGACGCGGTGATGCCGGTGCGCGCACCACACGCCCAGAAGTCCGCGTGACATCTGTGGATTTCGCACCGACTGGACGAGCATTCTGTGCCGCCTCTACCGAAGGGCTCCTTGTCTACAGCTTGGATACCGACTTCATCTTTGACCCCTATGATCTGGACATCACAATCACACCGTCAAGCATCCTTGCCACACTAGATGCTGCTAAGGAAGCCGCCACATCAAACACTGTGGACGATGAGAACACCTTCCTCAAAGCTCTTATCATGGCCTTCCGATTGAATGAACAGAAGCTACTCCGTGTCGTATATGAAGCGATCCCTCCGTCAGATATTCCCCATGTGGTTCGGTCCGTGCCCTCCGTCTATTTACCTCGCCTTCTCCGATTCGTTGCACATGCCGCCGAAGAAACACCTCATCTGGAGTTCAACCTCATGTGGATTGAGTCTTTGTTCAGCAGCCATGGCCGTTACTTTAAGGATAACACAGGTACATTTGCCACCGAGCTTCGTGCCGTCCAGCGTGCTGTCGATGACATCCGCGAAAATCTCAAGCGGTTGACAGAAAAGAACCTTTACGATCTCAATTACCTGCTCTCGAAGCCTATCCTTGGAAACAAGAAAACTAGCACTGCTTTGTTGGCCATGGAAACCGAGGATGCCGAGGTTCCTGATGACCAGATGGTTGATGCTGACGAGGGAGATGGTGATTGGGTTGGTTTTGAATGATTTTCTATGGGGTTTCTTCGTGTATGTCTACTTGCATCTGAGCCAGGCGTTTTGTATATTGCAAAGACCAAAAAGGGAAATAGACAGAGGCCTTTGCCTTGTGTGAATAATGTACTCCAAGTTTCCGCGCTCTGAGACTTCAAACGGACCCTTTGTCCATCTAGCAAACGCCCTTAAAATAAAAAGTCATACTTCTTAATACTATCCGAATTATCCTGTGCCACCCTCTCTTTACCTTTCTTGCCCATTCCTACCACCGAACAACTTCCCTAATCTCCCCGGTTCCAATATCCCGGACAATCCAAGTCTCCGGAGAATCATTTATCTAAGTACCTTTCCCCTGTTGTAAAAAGCACCTGAGATTTCATCAAAGATGGCCCTACCCTTCTGGCCCCTCGTTGGGGTGTTGGTTGTAGTGTTCTATCTACTTCAACGACCAGCTTCTAGTTTGAAGCATATCCCAACTATCAGGTACAACGCGTATCTACCAGATTTCATCAATCGATTGATATACTACCCCAAAGCTGGCTCGATGATCAGTCAAGGATATAAAAAGGTCAGTATACATGAAATCAGTCGGTCAGCCCTATTCTCATCTGTCGGCACTCTTTAGTACAGAGATAGTCCATTTCGCCTGCTCACTGGCGATGGAGAAGTCATCGTCTTGCCAGTGAAATATCAGGATGAACTGAGACATCTTCCTCCTTCAAAACTCAGTTCTCTACATGCCCAATATGAAGTAATCCCATGAGCTTCATCTGTACTACGTTACGTTGAGGGGTTGGAGCTGATATACCACTTCACAGAATGCCTTGGGCCAGTATACCAACATCATCATCAATACTCTTTTACCTGCTTTGACCGTACGGAAAAAGTTGACGCCCAATCTAGGTACTAACATCATCTGCCTTTCTCATTTTCAGCCTACAAACCAGACAACTAATCTATATCGAATAGCCCAAGTCGTCCCCGGTGTCATCGACGAGCTACGAGCAGCATTCGATGCCGCTCTCCCAGGATGCGAAGGTGAGATCTGCGAAAGCTACTTTGTGGGACCAACCGGACAGATCAACACTCGGGTACTGACAGAGCGTTGCTGAACACAGACAACTGGATTCGAATCAATCCATGCGAGATGTTCACCCGGCTAATTGCCCTCTCGACATCCCGCATGATGGCCGGCGACATCCTGCGCGAAAATGAAGAATGGCTCAACGTTGCAAGCAACTATGCCGTGAACGTGGGAATCACAATCATCCTACTCCGTCCAGTCCCAAAATACCTCCGTCCCATCGTAGCGCCCTTCCTCCCCAGCGTCCGGGAAATGAAGAAGCAGTTACGGTTCGCGAAAGAGCTTTTTATTCCGATTATCCACGAACGCAGACTCGCACAACAGACTAAAGACCCGAACTATACCAAGCCAGACGACTTCTTGCAGTGGATGATGGACCTGAGCGAGGAAAAGGATGAGAACCTCGGACCGGATACACTGGCGCATCACATGCTGCTCTTGGTCACACTGGCGGTTACTCATACCAGCACCATGGCCCTGTGTCACTGTCTCTATGATTTGGTTACTAGACCCGAATACATTGAGCCCCTGAGGGAAGAAATGACCCGGACTCTACCTGATGGCTGGTATAAGGCGACTCAGGCTTCGCTGAAGGAGCAGTCCCGCCTGGATAGTTTCTTGCGCGAGTCTCAACGCTTTGCTCCTCCTGGTGAATGTAAGTATTGTGGATCTGTATGGCCGTGCCGTACAGTTGGAGACAGAGTTGTGATTCGACGTGCTCTAACCACATTGTCTAGTAAACTTCCATCGCATCGTCAAAGAGCCCATCATGCTCCATGATGGGCTCGTTCTTCCAGTAGAAACACACATCTGCTTCGCTGCAGGTCCTATCAGCAAAGATGATGCCTACATCAAAAACCCAATAGCCTTCGACGGGTTTCGTTGGTGCCATGACCCCCAGGACCGTTTTGTCCTCACTCCTGAGCTTGCACCTCCCGCTATGCCGAACGGTGGCCAGAAGATGCAAGCTGAGAAGCCGATATATTCCGCCCATTTCGTTACTATCACCAGTACTAATATGCATTTCGGGTTCGGGGTCCAGGCGTGTCCCGGTCGGTTCTTTGCGGCGAATACTTTGAAGGCGATCTTGAGTCGCATCATCCTTGACTATGAGTTTAAATTCGTTAAAGATCTGGGAGGGAAAAGACCTGCTAATCTCGTAGTTGGGGAGCATATTCTTCCTAGTATGAGTACTGAGATGCTGTTTCGGAAAAGGCCTATTGGACTTTGAGTAGAGGGGGAAGCTTCTTGGAATATTGGGCTACCAGAGGTCGATGCGCGATACCATATTTATTTTATCTAGTATGTCACGGTTCTTGCGTTATGTCTAAAAAGATCCCAGACGCAGAAATACGAGGATCGAGTTTTGGTTTCAATTCCATCGTACATTCATCTTCAATAGATATAAGCACCACCTAGACGTTTATGTCTAGGCAGGGCGCACATATCTAAAGCGTCCATATACATACAGGGTTCAAATCCAATCGTTTCATCATATCTTCTCTCCTGAATATCACGTCCATCATTCACTGGCATCATTCACTGGGGGTTGGGCTGGGGCGTACCTCGCCCACGACCTCCTCTGCCACGGAACCCATTACCACGACCGCGGCCGCGGCCACGTCCTCGATCCAATCCTTGCGGCGGCGGAACGCGAGAGTAGTTCTGCGGACGGAAGTCAGGGTTGTTTTGGATAACACCCTCATTGGGGTCGCCGTTATCCATCGCGACATATCCGCCTCGGGCACCTCCCCGACTGCCGCCACGGGGGCCACGGGGAACGCCGCCACCATTGGTATGGGGACGGAAGGGGAGAGTAGTCTGCTGTCCGTTGTTGATACCTCCACGACCTCCACGTCCAGCTCCATTGCCCTGTCCGGCGACGGCTCCTCGGAAAGAGCCTCTCAGGGGCGCAGGGGTAGATGCGTTTCTCAGCTGTCCCTGCCCGTGAGGACCCATGGGGGCACCGTATCCGGCAACTGTCAATGGAGTCTGTGCCTGCTGGGTTTGCTGGCTAGCTGTAGCACGGGAACTGGTGATAAGTTGTCGGTTGGAGATGTTGAGGAGGGAAGACGCCAGAACAGTTTGGCCACGGAATGGTGAGCATCGGCCACCTAGTGTAGTGCCGCTCATGAACGACACATCAAAGACAACATCAAGCAGAAGTGCTCGCGGGGTTCTGGTGAGACCGACAACAGTACCACGAGTAGCGATGGGTACTTTACCAGAATCTTGGGCATACACAACCCGATCGCCAAGCCTGAAGCTTTGGTTCCCGAGACGGTGCTCGACATCGGCAGGCCGAAGGAGGGCAGTACGAGGTACACCCCGAACCTTCTTCGGTTGCATATCTGGCAGGGACGCGTTGAGAGCATCGGCATCCTGCTCAATCAACATCACAATATCCGAGTCAAGTTGCTCAGCGTCAAGGGGCACTCTCTCGAAGTTCTTGGCTTCAATAGATTTGAGCCAATCCTTAATCTCTTTCATCTTGGCGGCAGCAATCTCCTCGGGATAGAAATCGGTCGGAGAATAACGGTCGCTTTGAGGGTTGCGCTGGATGCCAGCAATGAAATCGGGGAAATTAATCATGTACTGTTGAATCAGTTCCACTGCCTTCTGGCTAAATTCCCATCCGGATTCTCCCCGACGAGAGTATCCAAGAACCTTCTGCTGCTTTGCCTGGAACTTTAAGTTAAGACCGAGGTTCGCACGTTGGCCTTCGATGTCAACAGTAAAGGAAGATGTGATCTTAGCCAGTACCAAAGGATTGAGGCGAAGACTGCGCGCAACAGCATATGAAGGCATGTAAGGGCAAAGTTGCTCAGATGCCCTAACACGCTCTCGACCGAATTCTGGCTCCCGGCCTTTCACGGCCGCAACCAATCCATTCACCTTTCCGTCTTCGTGTCCACCAACATACACAGGTCTTCCGTAATTGAAGTCACCCAAGAAGAAGGCACGAGAACCCTCTGGGAATTCTTCTTGAATAGAGAGAGCTTCCCGCTCAATGAAACGTTGATCAGGGTTGATCACGTCATCAACAACAACCTGTAGAGCATAGTCCGTCTCTTGGCCAGGGATATCAGCGAATTCCTTGATCGTGGCTCCAGCGTCTGTCTTGCTCATGCCCTTCAGAAGCTGAATGTGGACCAGAGACTCGACATCGCCAATGATAATTGCAAGACGCTTGCTGTACGTGCCCTCAATCTTGTTGGCTTTCCTCTTCCACTGCTCAATTTGCTGGGGGGTATGGGGAATAGCCAAAGGGTGTTCTTCTCCAGGAGGGAGAACGTAATCGAATAATTCGTCCGAGACACGGACCACAAGAGCTTCTTGCAAGAATGGATAGCCCACGTGGACACGCTTCCCAAGCTTCGTCTTAGCTAGTTCGATGCTCGACCGGCTTCCGGGATCAAGGAGTGTAATAACCTGGCTCTCGTTACGGCTGTCTTGATTGAACACGCAAACGCCATGGAAACCCAATTGGCCATGGTGGGGGAGTGTCTTGATGCTAGGGAAACCAGCAAGCGCTGCCTCACCTAGGTGCACGCCGTCCATCAGACCAGCGTAGGGCTCCAACCCATCCATGGCGGGAAGCTCAAAGAGGTTCTCAATGCAACGGCAGCTAGGAAGATCCGGGAATACGCCAGGCATCGAGGAGGGGTAAACGAAGTTCACATCAGGGGAATAGGTGAATTTGAGACAGGCCCCAAAGTCGTTCCTTGCTTTTTCATCTGCAGAAAGTAGGCTTTCTTTCGTTTTGAGGGCTGACAACAGCCGCTTCTCGTCGATGAATGGGATCTTGACAACGGCTTCCCATTCCATTTTTTTCCCGTTCATATCGAGATCAAAATCACGAGGGTAGAAATCGTAGATGGGGGAATCAGGTGAAGTCATCAGGTCCCAATAGGCAGTAGGTACAATCTTCTTACTGCGGTCGGGCAAGACACCCATGAGCTGGTCGAACGGCCGGAAAGGCTGTCCCAATTTGAAGTCCATATCTGCACCAAGGCCGTCATTCACATCTATTCCACTGTCAGTAATCAAATTATTCCAAAAAAAAAAAAGATTTGGTACTACTAACCAGAGATCATAGGGGCATAGTGGTACTGGAAGAACCAAGGCCACGATGCAATGCCACGGTAATAATAGAACAAGACCCACTGGAGGCCTTGCACATAGTTTTGCGCCAATTTCTTCATCTCTTCCTTGTTGTCGAGGCCCCAACCGAACTTGGTTCGGTAATAATTATCTTTCCACTCAAGGAACTTGGCGTCATATTTCTCCTGTGCGGCCTTCTGCGCTTCCTCGGCCGTCATCTCCTGAACTTTGGCCTTCTCGTACTTCCGAATAATACGCTGAACAGCCATCGATGCCTCCTCGTCCTCTTCATCGTCATCACTATCACCCTGGGTCGGAGGCAACGAGAGGCTCATAAACCGATCACCGTTCTCATTTTCCACGGAGGCCCAAGACAACCGGAGGTCATCCGCGAGCTGTTCGACGAAGGTGCGGTCACGGGCTGGAAGTGTAGGAGGGAGGTCAAGGGGTTCAGAAGCCTTGTCGGACCGGTTCAGGACGTACTTCTTGACCGTCTTAAGGATCTCCTTCTGCGAAGGAGTGAGGGTGAGCTCTTTCTTCTGTTGCGAGCTCGAATAATCGATGTTCGAGTCTTTCTTCGATTTGATCCATTGGGCATCGGAGTTTTCAGCCTCAAAGAATCGGTATTCCACGGCGCTAAGTGCGGTCACAAGCATGCCCAACCGTTGCACATTGATAACACCCTGCTCGTTGATGTAGCCGCCCATCTTTGGCAGCACCTCCTTGTAGAGCTTGAACATAAGGGCAAGGGCACCCTCGTTGATATGTAAGTTTGGCAGGTTGGGCAAGAAATCGTTGCCAACGAAAAAGGCCATAAGAATGAAATCATCAATGACACGCTCCATATCGAATGGGAAATCCAGAACACCTTCTTCTTTTAGCTCTTGGAATTCTAATTCCAAATACTCCCGAACCACGCTCAGATGCAACAAATAAAAGTTTTGGTGTTCCAGTTCCTTGGGCTTCTTGGATACTTGGCGACCAAAGGTCACTTCCTCGCGAAGAAGACAGAAGTGAGGGTCATGGCTGAGAAGACCCAGCATGATCAGATCGGCATCTAGACCGTACAGACAATGGCGAACGTTGGATTCATAGTCGGGCTGCGCTTTCGAGCAGCGAATGTATTCCATAATCTTGTGTTCGCCTTCTCCTGGAACCTCATGGCCAGAGAGCACAATCTCCACACCTTGCCAATCTGTGTCTTCCGAGATTTTCTTGTTGATGAAGTATTTGAGTTGTTTCGTCAATTTCTGCATGAACTCGGTACCCGGGGTGATGCAGTTGCTGTCAAAGGCGTCTTCCTTTGGCATCTCCAGACCCTGCTGGATAGCCTTCTCCTTCGCGGTCTCCGCATCCAGGGCGGTTCGGAATCGGCGAGCACGTTGTTGATTCATCTTAGCGCGAGGCGCAACACCGTCCACCGCCATATAGAACAGCTTCTTGGGCTTGATCTTACCAAACAGGTGTTCAATGTAATTGAAGATCGCAATGAACATTTGATCCTCCGTCATGCGAAATGTCGGGGAATCGCTGTCACTATGCGTACAGTTGTGAATAATGCCGTTCATATCGAGGTATAGGCTATCAAATTCGGGTATCCGGCTCTCTGCGATCAGCATCGAGATTGACGGATACCGCTCACTCAGCCAGCGGAAGAATTTGGGGACACCCATGGTGAAGATGGGGTGGGATCGACGACAAAATTGTCAAGAAGGGAATCGGGCAGGTTATTTATCGTAAGAGTTGAGAGATCGTAGCGGGGTTCTCGTAAAGGACTGAAATGGGTAACTTGCGACGAAAGGTGAAATCATCCAATGAGGAACTCTTGGATAAGATACTGCGCCAACAAAGTGTGTTGCCCAACGAAAGTTATAGGGGCGCAAACGTAAAACACGCAAGAGAAAGATATAGTAAAGACAAACTGACACTTTTCAGTTGTGTATGATGCAAGAAAGCAGGTGTCCCCACGATGTGAACATTGAAGAGTCAACGGAGCTCATTCACCGCCTATCAATTAGGACTAGTGCCATTACCGGTCTCCCAGCACTCATTAACGCGCTCATGCGCGTAGCTTTCCTCCGCCCACCTGTCCGCTTCACGCACTCTTTCTAAGTGGCTCAAGTTCTATCGTCTCGTGATCTCAATATATCGCTTGGTCTATACCACCCCAAAGCCATGGATCACTATGAAGATGATGCTGGTGAGCGTTTATACCCTTGCGCACTACTTGAAATCTCAATCTAATCAAGTTCTAGGTGTTGGTGGCGAGCATGAGAAAGACCATGATCAGGATCAGGATCAGGATCATGAACATGCCGACGAGAAGGCGATCAATGAAGGTAGATAAGCTCAATCTCTCTCCAGCTCTGCCAATTAGGGTTATATCTAATTATATTCATTGGGAACAGAGTACAAAACATGGAAGAAGAATGCGCCCTTCCTCTATGATATGATTCTGAGCACAGCATTAGAATGGCCTACTCTCACAACCCAGTGGCTTCCAGATAAGCAAGAGTATGCACCGAACTCCTACTGGTCCATGCATCAACCTAACCAAGTCTGTCTTCAGAGTCCCAGACAAGCCATACTCAACCCACCGTCTCCTCATCGGCACACATACCACTGGTGATGCGCAGAATTACCTTCAGATTGCCCAAGTGCAACTCCCAAATCCTAATGCCCCAAACCCGGAAGACTACGATGAAGAGAAGGGAGAGATTGGAGGCTATGGCGGGGGTTCAAAGAAGGCTCAAATGGAAATCAAGTTCAACATTGTGCAAAAGATAGATCACAAGGGCGAGGTCAACAAGGCGCGGTATCAGCCACAGAACCCGAATATCATTGCTACAATGTGCACGGATGGTCGGGTGATGATCTGGGATCGCTCTAAACACCCCAGCTTGCCAACTGGCACAGTGAACCCTCAAATGGAGCTCCTAGGTCATGAAGCTGAAGGCTTCGGGCTTAGCTGGAACCCTCATGTGGCTGGTCACCTCGCAACTGGCAGTGAAGATAAGACTGTTCGACTTTGGTAAGCGGGCGCAATATTCAAGACCAGATATTTGGTGTGACTAGCAGCTAATGAAGCTCACCACAGGGACATTACTACATACACCAAGGGTAACAAGGCAGTGCGACCGAGCCGCACTTTCACGCACCACTCCTCGATCGTCAACGACGTTCAACATCACCCTCTCCACTCCTCTCTCATCGGAACCGTTTCCGATGACATCACGCTTCAAATCCTTGATACCCGCCAAGATGATTCCACTCGTTCGGCTGCTTCGGCTGAAGGCCAGCACCGCGATGCCATCAACTCCATTTCCTTCAACCCGGCTTCCGAGACGATCCTGGCCACGGGCTCCGCCGATAAGACTATCGGTATTTGGGATCTCCGTAACTTGAAGTCAAAGCTTCACTCACTGGAGGGCCACACCGATTCGGTGCAGTCTATCTCATGGCATCCATTTGAGGAGTCGGTCCTGGCAAGTTCCAGTTATGACCGTAAGATTATGTTCTGGGACCTCAGCCGGGCAGGCGAGGAGCAAACCCCCGAGGATGCTCAAGATGGGCCGCCAGAGCTGTAAGTGACCACCCTTTCCCCCTCAGCTTCATATAATATGTTTGAATTGTTCACTGACATCACTCCTTAGTTTGTTTATGCACGGTGGGCACACGAACCGCATCTCGGACTTCAGCTGGAACCTAAGTGACCCTTGGGTTCTGTGTTCTGCCGCTGAGGACAATCTACTGCAGGTATGGAAGGTAGCAGATGCAATTGTGGGCAAGGACCTGGAGGATGTCCCCACAGACGAAATTGAGGCATGATGTTATTTCTATCGGACTTGTAGTCCAGTCATTTCATTTGGGTGCTTCTTTGGTATAAGTGAATTAAGACCATAGTGAATAATCATTAAAAACACCATTACATTTGAAGTCTACATGGTGACGGCCCTTTTGCTAACAGCATGGTTATCATCTTATCTACTAGCCCTAATCCAACTTTGGAAGGTTTCACATATAAGGGCATTATCACCAGCCTGCATATGTACATACGTATATACTAGATTTTAGACCGCGAGAGGTAACTCTCTATTTCCGTTTTAGTGCTCACCACTTACTTTTTGCTCACTGAGTAAAACTGAGCATATGCGGCTCCTAGGTATCCTCATCACCACTGAGCAATCGCTGAGCTGAAAAATATTATTCACAAGAAGCCGTCTCAAATCCTGCTTTGACTAAAACACACTAGAGAATCTCCTCTTTGAGGTACAGTGGCAATTCGACTTTCTTGCTTTGAGTTAACAGGTGATCAAAACAGGGAATCAAAGATTTTGTCTCAGATGCAAAGTTACTTTTATAGTAACTAGTTAGCTAATTTCTAAGTTAGCAATATAACCACTTCATAACTTGGTCACACATAAGATACTAGGACAATATCTGTAAGGAAAGGCAGGTGACTGCAACCCAATTATTAAAAAAAAAAAGGCACTCATGGCTAGAAAGATCATTAGGCACTTACTGTCGCTCCCATAATCACTCCCGTCGAAACACAAAGCAGAAGAGGCGTAGTGCTTGCTAAATGAATTTGTTATCGCCCATACATATCCATGGGTATGGTGTCTTAAGCGGAAATACTACGGTGTAGTATCTCTCGTTCAATGACTCCTAGAGAGTCTGGCGTGTTATATAAAAGGACAGCTCGACCATTAGTTCAGAAATTCGTTTCGGGGAGAGGATATAAATATAAATACCTAGACTAGGTTCAGAAGGAGTGAGAATTCCCACTTCCCTAAGAACCGTTCCATCGTTTTTGTTCCATCTATAGCCTTCGATAAATCATGTCTAGGGGGGCCATCTCTGCACCTAAAACGGTGATAAAAATGAGCAATCTAAAGGAGTCTAGGGAAGTTTTCTGCATTATTAAAGTTAAAGTGCTAGACTTAGCCACTAAGTAGGCGGGTCTTTAGGAGGGATTCCACTATCCTCTTAGTCAATGAATCATTCTATGTATAAACATAAGTTGCTTGCTCCGAAAAAAGGTTGTAGATCGAGTGGTTCCCTCTTTCTTAAGAAATCCTAGATAAATAATATAGAGTTTTTGTTTTTGTCGATATTTGAAGATGTACCTTTGACCATCCTATGCTCTCGAATCCTCCTTACCCTTCCTATCTTTCTTGCTTTTATCACCACCAAACTAACTCTCCAAAGGAGCCTAATACAGAGAAGTGCAAAGATGCTAGGTTGAGAGATGGGTAGATCTAAATACCTAGAGAAGATATATGTATTTGGATGCAATCAAACAAGTAAAAACATCGCCTGCTATCTAGGAGTTTCATCTGCTCTAATATTGCCTTATTTCTCTTCCGCAGCCGCAGCCGCAGCCTTCGCCTTATCATCAATGGTCTTGGAAATAGCCGGACGAACCTTGATACGGTTCAACCAGGAATTAACATGCGGGAAGTTCTTCTCGAGATCCAGTTCGTTCGGAAATATGAGCGCAACTACCTCGAACCACGGCACAAAAGCAGCATCTACATAGCTGTACTTGCCGCCAACGAGGTACTCCTTGTTCTGGAGCGAGCGGTTGAGCACACCTGAAACACGACGGATCTCGTTGACATAGCGCTCGACCGCACTGGGCACCTTCTCGGGGTGGTAGATCGTAAACCAGGCGGCCTGCCCCCAGTACGGTCCCTGGCCGGACATCTGGTAGTGTAGCCACTGCTTGCTTTCGTAGTACTCCTTCGAGCCGGCGGTGAAGCTGATGGTGTGTTGCTTGTCGTATGTGTCTACCAAGTACTCGAGGATGGCGCCGGATTCCCAGATGGTGATTCCGGTGTTCGGATCCTCGAGGGTGGGAACACGACCGTTAGGATTGAGAGACTCGTAGGGTTCTTTCTTCAGGTCGCCGAGATCGATCGACTTAAGCTCGTAGGGAACCTTGAGCTCTTCCAGGATCATGAGGACCTTCCAGGGGTTAGGTGTGCCGGCGTGACCCCCGAGGGTCCAGAGTGTGAGGGGTTTGAGAGACATGGCGAGTGAATGGATGATGATTGATTGATTGGGAGAAAGAGAGTTCGATACAGAGACAATGATCAAGGGTTGGTCTGCTTAGCAGTGCCGGTATATATACTACAATAACAGGAACATCAGGACATGAATTATTCAGTTCGGCACGCGAGAAGAGCGAACGCTTGGTAAGCTAGATAGTTAATTAGGTATCTCGAACGTGATTAGACCTTATTTATCAAACAAACCATGGACTACAATATATGCAGCCAACCATCAACACAAACTGTACAAACTATACAAACAAGACTTGCTTCCAAGGTTGCCCAGTAGGATTAATAATTACGGAGCGTAAACATTGGTTAGTCATCAGTCAAAGTCTAAGCACTCAGTGAGCAGAGTACTGACGCACACCCTGTTCACTGAACATGACCCGAGAATAACCAAGAGCACCTAGGCATGACTTGACCATTATTAAGCATGGCTTGGCATTCACCAACCAAACAGCTATGGATCTGATATACTCCAGGGCCGCTACATAATGTAGCTAAGCCATAGATACAATCAAGTTACACGGCGCTTATAATTCTTGACTGAAACAATGCTTTCTAGATGACTGAGGGCAAACTTTGAATATTTAGGCCCTTTTTGGGATATATACCCATGGACCATTACCTACCTAAATATAAAGAAACGTATCAGTTGCGGATCAGGAATATTAGAACTGAGGACTACTCCGTAGCGATATCGGCACCTATTTCTGTAAATACCTTATCACTCTAGTTTCACCTTTAGGGTTGGGAAATATATATCCCAGCCCTTTACCGAAGTACATCCCCACACGTTTCACTGAAGTTAAGAGATTATACAAAGAATATATAACATAGACCATTTATATGTTGTACATTGATTGTATGCATGTCGGCCCCAGAGTCCGTTTATCCCGCGGGGAGCATGTCATCATCCTGGTAAGTTTTGATTGGTGGTGATTGGTGGGGGGCGATGAGGGGGACAAAAGAAAGTTAGCGTTTGCTAGAAAAAAAAAAAGATGACTCTACCTTTAGATACTTACCTATATATATAATCTTGGGTGATATCTTCTATTTTCTACTTTCTAAACTTGAAATATCTTCATCATGGGTTCTGATTCTCCCAACTCCAAGCCTTCGGCTATCCCGTCCCACATGCTGAACGGTAGCTCCCCGCTGCAACGATCAACGGGCAGCCGGGATTCTCGTGAGCGCGAGAGTCTCAATACATCCATTCGTTCCTCTTTTGAACCTCGAATTCCCATTGAATTTGAATCTCCTGAGACCAAGTCCGAGACCAAGACCGAGACCGCGGCCGAAACTGAAACTGGAGCCGCCCCCACCCACGCCGTTTCCAGTGCTGAGGTGCCAATTCGCAGTGTGGCACCAGTGCGGTATGTATACAGCGAATATCAATAATGGTGGCCATGGCACTGCAGATCTCATTGCTAATCTCTACGCTATAGTCCTACCTTGAATGACCCTCCCCGCGATCCCCGGGATGCGGCCGCCCCATTCACGCCTTCAACCGCCGTTAGCCGTCCTGCTAGCCCCTACACATTGAACCCGCCCATCGACTTTGATGGTCTAAGCTGGCCTTGTTAGTGATACTAGTCCTATCGGTTTACGATGCTTTATTAGTAGATCTCTCTAACCACTGTCATCTAGGCCCCGGAACCAGACAGCGGAAGGAGTCGACGCCGGAGGAGACCGAACAACGGCTAGAGAAGATGTCGGGAGCTATCCGAACAATCCTGGAATGTATTGGCGAGGATCCGGAAAGAGAGGGACTTCTCGAGACCCCCATGCGTTATGCCAAGGCCATGCTCTATTTCACCAAGGGCTACGAGGAGAATGTCCGGGACTTGGTTAACAACGCTGTCTTCCACGAGGACCACGATGAGTTGGTCATTGTCAAGGACATCGACATCTTCTCGATGTGTGAGCACCATATGGTACCATTCACCGGAAAGGTAAGAATTGCTGCATATAATACTGGGATTATATCATTCTAACCACTTACAGATGCATATCGGATATATCCCTGACCGCCGCGTCCTTGGTTTGTCAAAATTGGCTCGCCTGGCAGAGATGTTCTCTCGCAGACTCCAGGTCCAGGAGCGTCTGACCAAGCAAGTTGCGTTAGCCATTTCAGAGGTTCTCCAGCCTCGCGGTGTCGGTGTCGTTATGGAATCTTCCCACCTTTGCATGGTTATGCGCGGTGTGCAGAAGGTTAGCAGCACCACTACTACCAGCTGTATGCTGGGATGTATGCGTTCCAGCGCCAAGACTCGCGAAGAGTTCTTGACTCTGCTGAACCGGAGATAGATGCCCTATCTCGCCTGCCCAACCTTAACATAGGTTGTTGATTTTTGGATTCTTGGAGTTTTGGGCGGTGACCTTTCAACAGGTTTTGGGTCTTGCTTTTTACTTTACATGTTAAGCGTGGATTGGTGTTTCTCTGGTCTTCTCTTGTCTCGGTTCCCCTGCACATACTTGGGCGGATCTCCGCCCTGATGTCTTGTCATGTTCCTTCTCTTCTGAAGTTCATAACCTCCTTCGCGAGCTGATGGCTTCGTGGGAAATGGCAAACACCCCTTCCTCTACCCATGATGGGCCCAAGGAAGATAAAATCTCCCTCCCCTATCCCCTACCTTACTAACACAACCCCCAAGAGGCCTTTCCTACACAGTCTATTGAGATTCCACTCGGTAGCACTAGCAAGGCTGTTTCAACACTTGATCCCATGCCGCTTACGGGCATCCTAGTAATGTCGACTTAGATACGATGTATGTATTAGAACCAATGTACAACCCCTTCTGATTTCCTCTTTCCTGGTCTGGAACAAATGGCAAAGCTCTGGTCCTGGTATGTCGACCTTGGAAATAGAAAAGTGTAGTGTTGTCGACCTGCAACCGATTTCTATAGAGCTATTTGGTTTGTCTTAGGGCTTTGATCATACTACATAAACCTTCGGTTTGATCAAGGGAGACTGTATAGACACGTAGATAAGCATCACTGGTCCCTGACTGCTTCGTCGGCTTGAAAATATTGCCAGCAGTTTTGGCACTGCGGGTATTGGTGAGGACCTCGTCGGCGCTTATACCTCTGACCACTCCGACGACTAATCGATTACATCGTCGAATCGCTTAGTCGTCTCTTCGCACGTCTCGTCATTGCCTATGACGATAGGCCCCTACACGTACATGTCTCGTCTCGCGTTCCATTCCCCGGGGCTTCATTTCATTTTTTCTTGCCTTGTCATTCCTCTTCATCCTCTTCATCCTCTTCATCCAACTCTCCATCCAACTGTCCATCCAACTCTTGAACGCTCTATCATCCGAAGTCTTCATTTATTCATCCCTATCCCTTCTTGTAATCTATTCATTGCCTCTACTTGTGCTTCTTACTGTTTTCCCGCTGCATTTGACGTGTGATTGCACCCTGCCACGTCCACCGAACCTTGCCTGTCAATACACCAAGGTTACCAGGACACACAACACGCCACCTACGGTCACTACAGAGTGGCATTCATCTTATCTGTTTCTGTAAGTCTTGTGCAAGTTTATCCCGCTTCCTTATCTGTGTGTACTGCATACAACCCCCGTGTTTCGGAGCCTTAAATGGTCCGTCATCCAACATTGATTGGACATAGAACCTAGGCTTGCTTCCTTCTCCCTCCCCTCCCACGTTCATCTTTTTTTTTCTTAAAGGAAAAACTTGATCTGATATTTCTTTGTCTATTGTTTAATTTCATCTGATATCCTTCCGATCTGATCTATGCATGTTTATTTGGTTGTTATGACATGACACTAATATGTTTGCGAAAAGGTTTCTAGATACAACCAAACCCGAATACCTTGCATCCAAAGGGTTTGCCCTGACAATATTTAACTGCAAGTATGTTGAGTGTGTCGGATCAAATCAATTATGAGACTTTACTGACATGGAATTAAAGGTTCATTTACCAAAAGGCTGTTGTTGCCAACCAATAATCCATTTAACATAATGGATAACCACCCCCCATGTTCAGCCGTTCCTGGATCTTCGGGTCTCCCTACTCAGGAAGATACCACTGGCTTCACCAACGAGCCCACCGGTGTCAATGAGTCTGCCAGTGACAACCAGCCCGCCAGTACCAATGAGTCTGCCGGTATCAACTCTCTTGTCGAGTCTGGACCCTCGCAATGGTCCTCTCCTCCAACTCTTGAAATTCTCCAGGCACACATGGCAGCTGACGCTGACTCTGATGAAGCCGCTGAAATGCGTGTGCACCCCGATTTCCATGTCCACCTGGAAAGATTGCAAAGAATCAACGAAACCAATCGAGTGAATGCGCGCAGAGAAGCTGAGGCCCAGTATCAAGCCTATCGAGCTTCTCTGGTGCTCAACGAATCTCAGAATCAAGCTTCTCGCGTGCTTCATGATTCCCAGGATGAAGCTTCTATGGTGCTCAACGAGTCCCAACATGAAGCTTCTCAGATTCTTAACGACCCCCAGCGTGGAAGTTCGCAATTTGCCAACCAATCCAACCAGCCCTCGTACCATGGCAGTGCCGGACATGGATCGCAGCTATCGATAATGGACATGTCTGAGCTATACGAAACCCAACCTTCCACTTCAGCTGGGCTAATTCCACATGCTCGTCTCGACACAACTGATCCCACGGGTTCTGCTCATCCCAGAGACCACTCTTCTCACCACCAACCTCCATCTCCTTACCCAACGGTAACTCGACGCCAGACTTCTGCTAGTCCAAGCCCTTTGTCAAATCCTCCTCTGGTAGCACCTCTTATGATCGCACCTCGCCGGTACACAGAGTATGGAAACCCTTACACACTCACACGTGAGCCAGATTTGATGCCTGAAGGTACCGTTCCTTGTGGCCCAGACCGCATGCTTCAAGCATGGCTCCTCCGTCAGCAGCTTATTGCCGGCGTTCGTCCTGAAAATCTTCAGCCCATGTCAAACCCACGCAGTATGCGACACCGGACGCCTCCTTGGATCATGATCAACGATAGTGGTGCCCATATCATCAGAATGGAGCCTGCCAGATTTCAAGGTGTCATGCTTCCTATGCCCGACCTTCCTTGGTTCCCGCGGCGCGCAAATCCTAACTCATCTACTGCGCCTGCTTCGTTGAATGCTCCTGCTATTTCGAGTGTGCCAGCTGCTTCAAACATCCAGACTGTGCCAAGTTCTGCCAATACTCAAAACTCGCCGGTTGACCATAACCTGTCGGTCACTCCAACTTCACCCGTTGCAAACTCGCCGGTTGACACAAATTTATCGACTGCAACGGAGTCACTGTTTGCTCCACCCGTTCGAGCTCCTCCAGTCCGGCCAGCTACTCCGCGCCAATTTGATATTTCTGACCCTCCCAACTCGCTGGTTCGCCCAGGCACCTCGGCCCCCCCAAATACACCGGTTGCCGCAAATCCACAGAACCCAGACCCGGACCCGCGGGTTGTCGCCTTCTTCCAACCTCTCAGGCTCCATGAGCCTGTTAATTCAGCTTCATCTTCCGCAGGTGCCCTCCAGTCACAGATCAGGACGGCCCTGACTGTGCAAAACCGTACTGATGCTGATTCCATCAGTTCTCGGGAAGCCCCTGGGGCCGGGGACCCAGAGTCTTCGGCTGCCTCTTCGGAGGCCGCCAATGGTAATGGAAATGGGGTGGTGCACCACGGAGTCACCTGGTCGGAGCCAGAGGACCCCGAGGAGGAGGACTCCGGTGAGGCTGTTTCGCCTCACCTCCGTCGTTTCCTTCTCGACGGGGCGGATGACTAGCTCGGGATGGGAGGGGGGGGGGGGGGGCTAAGACTCCCAGTGAACAACCCTCCTTGTGAGGGTTGATATGAGAATACTTTCAAGTGTGTATGAGTAGTTTCTGAGGTGAATCTTGCTTACAATGTAAGTAGGAAGTGAGGCATGGGTGAGCTGAGTGAGGAGGCAGTCAAGTTTTGTGTAGATATGTACGAATAAAGTTCTATGAGTATAAATTCTTTTCGGTCCTTAATTTAATGCATGGTAGAAATATATTCCTTTTGTGCCTACGTACTGATAGGTACTGGGTTTGTCACTGTCATGTTAGACATGCGGTCTCAGATTTTGATAACGGAGAAAGGTCCGTTGCAAAATAGGGGAAGCTTCCTCTAAGGCAAAAAAATATCTCAGTAGTTTAACAGTACTGTGAGGGAAATACCCCTAAAGGGGATTGGTAGATGGACAACCGGACGACAAAGGGAACCAGTCGTGTGGCAACATGTGTCAAAGACCTAGTAAAAAAATTGTTTAGTCTCTGTCCCAAACAACTTGTCACCCATAAGCAGTAGCCGGAGACGTTGGTAGAATATCATGAAAGCAAATTCTTCTTCTCAAAGAGATGTTGCGAAGTGCCAGGGCTGATCATGTCCTCTTAAACAAAATGACACCACGTGACCACATGTGACAGTTCCGGGACAACTTCGACTTGCCCATGACATCAACCTTCCTCTTTGCTTTCTTAGTTCCTCGCTGATTTGGCATGGCGCCCCCATGATTATACATAATTTATTTTGTTGAATCTAGCTCCCTGGCCTTTCTGGGGGATGTTTCTTTTTTTTTTTCCCGGGTGAGAATGGCCGGGGGTTTGTGTTCCAGCCCATCCCGCTCCAACTCGGGCTGACTTTCAGCCCACGCCTTGAGTCCCTTGCAACCACATCCACATCATGAGATGTTGCTTTCTGTTAGATTACAAACTATCAATTTCAGGTCCTGGAATTGGTCTCATTATTTAATACGGGAGGCGGGGTTGAGCACAGGGCTTAGTCTCTAGCATTTCACCACCCGCAACTTTGGGGGGTTTGCGCACTCTACTGGATTGGATTGGGTGGAACCAGCATTGTTTATTTGGGCTCTTCTTACCTTGACCGTCTCGTACATTGACCCCTCATTCGGTATGCTCCCCACCATTGCCGCCAGCCTTCTGTCTAGCCAACCGACCTGGACACCTGGATATCACCAACATGAATTTGCATTCTTGTGTGGCAGAACTATAAAGGCACAGAACCCGCAAAGGTCGGCTTAAAGCGACGTCGCAGTCGGGGGTTCCGGCCGTGTTTCATTTCTGTTCCAGTGGTATTTGTGCCCAGATAGTCATCCATCAGTCTATCTGTTGTAAATCACGACAAAGTTTCATTCCAGCACGCACTCGTTTCTTGATGCATGACAACTCGAACTTCGTTCGACAATTGACCAATCTACAACTTACAAGACATCGAAAACTGACTAGCTAGGTGTGATACAGAGCATCAGAGTTGTTTCTAACAGAGAACCACAGCGCGTTGGATCGGCCCTCCAAATTGACCAACAGCTCCATGATCCTGGGGGGAGGATGATAAGAGATTTCCAGCCATTGATTTTATGATGTGACCTGACAACCCTACGTGGTGTCGTCCTGTTCACAATGGTGCCTCGGGGATGTTGGCCCATCTAGCCTTGTGCAATACGTAGATAGTTTCATTCGTGGGACAAGCCAACGCAGTCTCAATGTTGCTTTGCCGAAAACAGGCAACTGCTGTACAAAATGGCAGGGCGAGCACAAAGGAGACAATACGCTAGCAAGCCTGGCTAGCACTGTTTCTCCAACACCTGCAGGTGGGCACCACCTGATCAGATCATCCTGTGCTGAGCAGACACAAGCTCGACATATTCGGTACCAAAAAAGAGTCTCGGAGGAGCAAAGCAGAAGTACAGGCTGCACTTGTCTTCGACAGCTGCACGCCAACCTTCATCCCGCCGTCGAATCAAGTTGTAGAGCCGCAACGTGGATCAGTCAGCAACCCCGAGGTCTCCTACCTTGGAAAAGCCCACCCTCCACGGCCAAGTAGTGTTCTTTCTTTACATGGAAAGGTGAGACGGTGTATTTGATAAATCTGAATTGGTGCGTATGCCCCGTTCGACCTTCCCCTTGCTTATGTTCTCGTTGTTCACCAGCGCTTGATAGTTTACACAGTTCGGAATCTGGAAAAACCATCGTTCCGGGTCCCCAAACCCGAAAGACTCCCGCCTGCGATCGCAGACACGCTTGGACGCCATCGCTCACAACAGTGCCTTCTCATCATTATCTCTAGTTCAAAGGCTTCTTCCAAAGACTAGCCTCGCTGACAATCTTTATTTCCCTGATTGAACCAGATGCCGTTGGCGACGTTTACATGGCGGAGTCCCGTACGAGTCCGGTGTTGAGAGACCAGTGGATTGCTGACCTAGACCGCGATCCCCGTGACAGGGAGAGACGGAGAGGGCGAGGGTCAGGCCGCGATCGAGGGAGAAACAGAGGTCGTGACCGAGGCCGTCCATATCGGCCCAATAACCGCAATTTCGATCGCCCGGGGCGGTCGCCACCACGCGCGTCCCGCTTTGGCCCTGACTCTTCTCACGACCTAGGTGATTTCGCTCCGGATCGATATTCCCGTCAAGGTTCTCCTCCACCTCCAAACTTTCACAACAGCCGTCGACTAGATTCAACGCAACCCGTGTCATCAGCTGACAACTGGAGCGCTCACCCTTCCGGACCTTTTGATAGAGAAGCCCCCGGTCCTCGAAGAGACGAGTCACCAACTGGACCTCCACTGAAACGACAAAGGACTCGAAGCCTCTCACCGCATAGCCGCCGTGGCCCTCTTCCTCCGCAGCGTTCAAATTACCCCAATCACGGCGAAGGACGGGACCGAAGCCCTTCATTCAAGAAACGAGGTGGCCGCACCCAAGGTCGTGGTGCTCCCAGGCGAAGATCACCACGCCGGGGCCGGGACCGTCGTGGAAAAGACCGTCGTCGTTCGGACATTCCACGTCCAGGACGATCTAGATCACCGGCTAATGAACGAGGGTTTCATCATTCGCCTGATCGACGGTCTCGTACCCCTGGTGGTGACAATTACAGCGACCACGGATCTCACTATCGATCGAACTCAAGGCACTCCGTACGGTCTGCAACCTCGAGATATTCTGCATCATCTCGCAGGTCAAGGCGCGATTCGGCGATGAACACACACCGACCAATTCAGTCCGTTGTGGACGCCACTGGTCGGTCTCCATCTCCACCGCGCCCGATTCCGAGCTTTGACTCTGATAACTTCGGCCCTACTGGAGAGCACTCTACTCACACGCGGGATGAGTTCCCAATGCATGCAATGCGCTCTGATGTGAATAATGAGCCTCGCCGTCGGCCGTCTCGACCACGTCTTGATAGCCGGCCCTATGCGAACTCTCAAAACGCAACGTCGACAGGCTCATACCACGGTTCACCGCAACCGCCCTCACCTTACTCTGCGGGACGAGGAGGATGGTCTGGCCAACCTCCGTATTCTGGAACTGGGTGCGTTTCTTATTGCTTTCACTTACATGTTATACTCTGACTTATACTAACACTCTCTTCCAGCCATACCTCTCCTTATCGACACGATGACTATTCATCACAAAATGGAAACTATTATCACAACCAAGGTCAATCTAACGGCCCTGGCAATCATCACCCTCAATCCCCGTATGGCGGGCCTCCCCACAGAGGTGGCCACTCTGGTGGCGGTCATCGAGGAAACTTTCCAAACCAGGGACCCGATCGGCGATTTTCTGGCTCTGGTCCCCATTCATATCAGAATGGACCTTCACAACGCGGCGCGAGAGGACATTTCAACAACTTGCAATGGACTGCATCGGGATCACGAGGCCGTGGGGGACAACATAGTCCACCACACCCGGCACACAGTCATGGGTCACAAACTCCCACTCGGCCACGGTCTCACAATGACCCGCAATCCCCCCGAGCTGGCGAAAGTGACAATCATTTCCGACCCCCCAATAGGGACGAAGAGGATAACCAGGCGCAAGTTCAATCTGCTAGCGGAAATCCCCAGCCCATGCCACACTCCAACCACGAATCCAATAATACGACGCCGGCAAACAAGGGCGGGAAATTTAGCTTTGCCTTCAAGTCAAAGGCTGCACCTTCTCCTGCTCCAAAGCCAGTCCCTGACCTTGCCCAGAGGATGCAGGTCCGCGAGCCGGCCCCACGTGCACCCGAACCACCTCAACAACCTCGGAACAGGTTTACCAATGGACCATTACCCAAATTCAAACCAGATACAAGAGCTGATCGCCGTGACCGGGGTGGACGAAATCGGGATCGAGACCGGAGAGATTTCCGGGAGCCACGAGAATTCCGTGATCCGCGGGATCGAAGAGATGATCGCCGGTTCGATCAACGTCGTGATCGACGACAAGGAGAATGGCCCTCGGACCGGCCCTTGGACTGGCCAGATCGCCGCCGTGACCATTCTCCAGAACCGCCAAGAGAGGCACCACCACCACCACCTAAGCAGAAGCAAATTCTTACACGCTTCAAACCACGCCCTATGCTTCCCGAGGAGTTCGCTAATGCCGAATCTGTGTACTACCGAAAGCCGGGCAATGAGTCTGTGATCGGTGCTGGAACATATGGAAAAGTGTTCAAAGGAATCCACGTCTATACCCAGCGTAAAGTTGCACTCAAGAAGATCCGCATGGAGGGCGAGAAGGATGGCTTCCCTGTCACGGCTGTTCGAGAGATCAAGCTGCTCCAGCATCTTCGAAACCATAATGTTGTCAGCCTCCTGGAGGTCATGGTTGAAAAAAACGAATGTTTCATGGTCTTTGAATACCTCTCTCACGATCTGACCGGTCTGATCAATCATCCCACTTTCTCTCTCACTCTCTCGCACAAGAAGGATTTGGCGAAGCAAATGTTCGAAGGTCTCAATTACCTTCACCAT